ATTATTCTGCATCAAAATCTAGGCAACTAAAATTTTTTAAATTTTTTTCGAAATTTTGTGGGGACACCACTGCAAAATCCTGGATTTCCATATGAGGCCCAGAGCCATAGCTATATCTCAGCCAATTCTTATCCGATTCTCAAGCGGAATACCCCAAACGATTTTTGGTCTAATTTCCCGCCATTCTGCATTAAAATCTTGCTATAAAATATTTTTTAGATTTTTTTACCAATTTTTTTTGGTCTCTATCCCCTTGGAAAATCCAGTATTTTCCTATATGCCCCCCAGCTCTGTCTATATCTTTGCCATTTTCCGACCAATTCTCAAGCGGAATACCTTTAAGGATTTGTGAATCGATTTCCCGCAATTTCGGATAATAAATCGATAGCTTCGATGATGAGTTCCATTACGAAATTGAAATGCTTGCCAGCAGAGCTCCCAAATCGAAACTCAAGACGTGCATTCCATATCCTGTTGAATATTTATCGAATAATGAATAAGGCGTGCCACACACACACACTCACAGACACACACAGATATAAAAAGCACACACACACATACTGACACTTATACAGACTCATATGAACAGGAAGAGATTCCATTAACCGTATTACGTAAAAGTTGCAAATAAAAAAGTAAGGAATTTATCGAACTGACTGAACGAAAGAGATGCCAGTGCCACAAAGAGGCAAGAGAGTGAAGGGTGTGTGAAAGGGAAGGGATACTTTTGGGATGGTTTACGGGCAAATTTACGGATATGCTCCGTAACTGACTACGACGCCAGGTGTATTCCGGTACCGACTCTAGCAGTGGCAGTGGCTCTCAGTGGCTTTCATTCATGGCCAATAAAAAGCGACGCATAAAAATATGAATTTTATGTCCGTGTATTTAAAAGGACAATAAGCAGCAGATATCCTGCTCCTGCTCCGGGTAGCTGGGAGAGGACCTCAAATCCCTGGCCCGGGCAATCAAAACAAAATAAAAGCCACACCAGGCCGGCCCCGAAAGAAAGTGAAAAGGGGGTGAAAGTATCAAAAGGAGAAAGCAGGGCCAGCAACAGCAAGACAGTGAGCAACAAATGCGCTCAATGAACCTGAAAGGCAAGAAAAGCGGGGGGAAAAAATCAAGGAAAAACGAGAAAACGCGCGGCACTTGAATTGGAAAATCAAATGGAAAAAAAAAACAACAAAAAATAAAAATCAAGAAAAGAAACTCCAAGCAGGTGAAGATTTTCTCTGTTTGTGGCAGCTGCTGAACATGAAAATGAGTTTTCCTTTTTCTTTTTTTTTTTGGATTTTCTGGAGTGATTTTTATGCCAAGCCAGCCAGCCAGCCAAGACAAAGCCAAGTCAAATAAAAATAATAATAAAATCAGCGCAATAAGCAACCAATGAAGGCTGATACTTACCTACATCTAAAGCCAAAAGCCAAAAAAAAATACACCGATTTATACATACAGATGAGCAATCATAAATATTAATGTTAAATACAGGATAGACTTGTTCTATCGCCAGGACACTGACCATTGGCTCATTGCCAAATGGAATGGGCCAAAACAGGCGATTGGTTACGCATCTGATAACTGAAATGTTGGCCTAAATGATGATCTTGGTTGGTAAGAGTGATGTTGGTATTTATATTCTTTAAAGTTTTAATTAAAAATTGCATACTTGACATTCTTTGAGGATTCTTTAAAGGAAATATGGTCGTTATTTACAGAAATATTTATACATCCTTGAAATATCATTTATTATATTTTAAACTAGATTATTAAAAATGAATATAAAATAGTAAAGGTACTCTTATACTCATTTAACTATATAACTATACGATACCCGATACTCATCTATACTCATTCCACCATATATAAAAGCCTATTTTTAGGCTTCTTCACAGTAGACTATAGCTCCTCTAGCTCCTCTTCCTAGCAGCTTCTAAATCAGTGTCTTAAAATATATATCCCAAAAACCCATATTTCAAGGACATATCGTCTTTGTTCTTTTTTCCTCCAAAGCTTGCCCAACAGCTTATTCTTTACGTCTTTATTTTTTTGTGTGAGAGTGCCGTCTTTATGCTAATGTCGGCGACTTTTCCTGACAGGCGCTGCCTCATAAAGCAGGCGGTGAGCATAAATCTTTTCTCACCCTGCCCCAACCAGGACCAAAAAAAAAGGATCTCCATTCGGGCGACATCGTGACGCTGTCTCTGATTTATTTGGCCAACGTGTATGCTTATTTTCGCGTCCCTATTGCTGAGACAGCTATCAATGACAGCGGCTTGATTTTGCATTTAAAAGTGAATTATATTTCCTCAGATCCCTCAGACTGTGGTGGGAGGGAGTGGGCGGGGGGATTCTGTGTGAAAACTTTGCAAAATATCTTGCCACATAAGCGACAATTTATTTGCATATTTTTATGCCAGAGGACTGGCATCGCTGGCATTGCTGGCATCTGAAGAGTGAGTTGTCCTGGTTGTTGTTTACATTAACCCTCCGGCCAAATGGTTAAAGTAACACAACTATGGGTAAACAACAGCTATGGGAAAAATGGGAAAAAAATGGGTCAACAAACTCTGTGGTTTCATAGTTTACATTTGAAATTATATTTATTTTTTGTAAAAGTTTTCTTTTTTTTGGTTGCGATATATCAAAGGTTTGACAAATTGATTTGTTTTTCAATTTTATTTACCCCAAATATATGTAGTTTTCTTTTTTTTTTCTTTGGATAAATATCAGAATTGACAAAAAAAAAATAAATAAATGTTTGAAAAACGCTTACAACATAAATTCGTGTTGGCCTCTTTTTCGACCCATTTCAAAGTGTGTTATCGCGTTAATATCTGACATGTTTGAATGTCACATTGATCCCGTTATACCGAGGTTAGGGTTACACACACACACACACCCACGACCCACTCCATTTGAAAATTCTGGTAACCCTCTGGTATTCTGGTAGCTAATGTTTGTGTTTTTGTTCTCCCTTTGACTAATATCAACACCAACGAAAGTTGCCTGGCTGTTGCCGCTGTTTGTGTTTAATTATGTATATCTGTGTATAAAACACACATCCCTACTCACACTCACTGCAATATATATATACATATATCTATTTGTATGTGTTTTGACACGGTCGCCATGTGTTTTCATGTAGAAGGCGCTTACAGTTTGTATCCTGCTGTGGTAGTAGTTTTGTCTCCTGTCTGCTTCCAACATTTTCCAAATAATATTGAAACTTTTGTTACATTGTCACGTGCTTGTGGGAAAGAGAAGAAGCTAGCGAGAGGGAGTGTAAGAGGATGAGGGAGGCAGCCTGAGTTTCCAACTCGTGTTTGGTATTGTTTGCCTTGGCTTTGACTTCCGTTTCCGGCTGATAAACAAATGGCGCCAGCCAACGATTAATTATTTTGATTTCTAGTCTATGGGTCCCTTTTTACCTAAAAACATGCTATATACATGCCAACAATAACAACAAAAACAGGACACGTGTCCTGTCCTAACCGACTGGCCGACTGGCTGGCACTGGCTGCATAAATCATAAATTATCTAAACTGACAAACTAAAGATTGATGAGATCCATAGATACTAAGGCTTGCGAGCAGCAAAAAAATAAAACCAGATAGTTTGTGGGGGAATTTTTGCTTTGAAAGGTTTATTTATAATATTTTTTAAATATTTTTTGTTTGTTATTTATGTCTTTTTTTAATAAATAATATTTTGTTTAATATTTATGCTTGTTTTTAATTGTCAGGTCGGTTCAAAAAAGGTTTTTTTGACAGGCCAAAAAGTCTAATTTTCCCAAACCTTTGATAGAGCTTGAAGGATAAAGAAGCTATAGGGCATTAAAGATATATCACTCTTAAATCAATCAAATATTAACCGATTTATGGAAGATAAAATATTACCTCATAGGTCATTATTACCAACTACCCATTCTCTTCTAACTCTGATTGAATATTATCTATAAAAGCTAAATGGAGTGACATGGTACTTACTTAAAACATGTCCCATTATCTATCTCTGACGCTGTACTTAATTTTTTGATAAATTGTTTGATAAGCATGGACTGTAATCTTTGAATAAAAATCATTGTTTGTTTGCTGAATCGATTCTATGGTCGATCCATTGAAATATCTCAATAACCTCAATGGATTTGGGCCATCTTTTGTGGCAGTTCTTTGGCGATTTGTTGCTGCTTGTTATTGTTGGTCTATCAAGGATCCCATTTTCACACAATTGCAATTTGCCACCTTGTTGTGTGTAAGTGAGTGTGTGTACGTGTGTGTGTGGTTGAAACCACAACGAAGCACTTTTTGGCACGTTAATGTGTTAGGAAACCTCCACCTTGCCACCCTTCATACACACACACACACGCATGGGGCGTAATTAATGATTGAACACACACACACACATAGTCCCACTCCCCTGCGCCCCAAAAAGTATGCTATGCTTTGGCACAAAATGTGTTTCTCATTATTTTTACACACTTTGGCAAAAAGCAACGCACGTGCGTATAAATTATGTTTTTTGGCTTCATTATGTGGGCTAGAAATTGTGGGCGGGGCCATTGGGCCATTGGGGGGCTGCTATGTATTGCTGACGCCTGAGTTTGGCATTAAAAATCAATTCCAGAAACTTGGCACGTACACGACAAGAAATGGAACTTACCTTTTGAAAAGTGGGCTTTAAAATAGACATCAATTAAGGCAAGTGTTTGGTGGGGGTTTTGGTTTTAAAATAGGGGTTTTGAAATAGGTGAATTATATAGGAAAATATATAGTAGATCTTCCTATCTTCCTCTGATCTTCCTTCTGTTTTAAGAAGTTCTTCAAAAGAATACATTTTAAAATATTAAAGAATTGAATTAAAAATAAATAGAATTTAGTATTCGACTATACTATTAATAAATTATTTATACACATACTTTTTATCTTATATTTTACTTTAAAAAATGCTTAAATATTTAAGAAATATAACTAATTTTCTAAAATTTCTTTCAGAGAATCGGCAAAAAGATGGAATGACAGCAGTTGGCTTGGTTGGTTCCTAGGAAGATGCTGCCCCAGTCAGCAGGAGCAGGATCAAGATCAGGAGCAGCAACAACAACAGCAACAACAACAAAAGCCACAACAACCATAGTACAAGCCGAAGAAGAAGCAGCAATTGCTTCAAGGATTCAAAATCAGAACGGGAATGGCCAGCGACGTCGCGTGGCAGAGGCAGCAGCAACAAGCGGCCAACAACAACAACCACAACTTGCAACATCAGCAGCAACAACAACAACTACAAGTAACAAAAACAAAAATAACAACAACAGCAACCGATTAGGACAAATGCATTCCAACGAAGAACCGCCCATGACGGTGATCGTCGATGGCGGCGGTGGTAGTGGGAGTGGTAGTGGCCACTCGAGGAGATTGCGAAAAACCAGTTCCTCCAATGCCAATCCGAATCCGAATTCCAAAAATCCAAATAATCAATCGACAACCACCGGCCCATCCGGATCCGCCAGGACACACCGGCAGTCGTCGAATGCCTCGGGATCGGCCGACCATGCCCGGCGGCGTTATCAGGGCGGCAGCGGCAAGGAGCGACCGGAACAGGGGCAGGTGTCACGCCGCAGGACTGCTGGCCGGCGGCACAGTGGTGCCTCATCGCTGAGCGATGCCGTCACAGCGGCCAGGCAACGTGGCGGTGGCGGTGGCGGGGCCATCAGCTCATCCACAGCCTCCAGCTGTAATGGCAGCTGCAGCTCGGACGATGGTGACTCCTCCTCGCACACCTCCTCATCCTCCGGCTCGTCGAGCTCGTCCGGAGAACCGAATCTGCCGTATCCGGGCTTCCCGGAGATCTCCATGTGGGCACTGACGCAGTACACCCGACCGCGCAACTGGTGCCTGATGCTCATCACCAATCCATATCCTTTTCAAAAACAAGAACAACAACAAAATCGACAGAAAGGACACTCGGGGGGGGAGAAGTGAAGGGGATGGAATGGTATGGAGGCGTAGTCCTAATTGCCATTGTCCTTCGCTGGCAATTTACCCCTGGGCCGAGTGTCCTTGTCACACATTTCGCACAGGATGTGCGTTGTGAGAGCCTATTGATTTTTCTCTCCTTTTTTTTGTCAGCAATCCTTTTTTTTTAAATATTTTTTTTTAACGAACACTCGGCCTAAGGACACTCGTTTCGAAGTTTTTTTCCGCGAAATGGACGGGGGAATTGGTTTGGGGATTTTTTTCGAGAGAAAGGACGAAGGAAGCAGGATATGCAATATATTTATGTATTGGTATCAGGCGAATATTTCAAATAGTTAAGGGGACGGTTTTTATACATTTTTATAGAGATGTTTCAATAACAGGGTTTTGGTTGAACGGTTTATGGTTTTTGGAGAGGTTATCTTAGGGTTATGGTAGGATTAAAATTTAAAATATTTAAAATATCTTAAAGATTTGAAAGGCTTTTTAAATAAAATTAGAAGAATGAAATTAAAGATCTTTATTCTTTTAATAGTTAAGGGACTTTAATATATGATATTTATCTATTAAACCTTTTTATTCTTTTTATATATAAATATATATTTTAACTGCCAAGCTAATTTAGTATTTTAATGTTATCCCATTTACCTTAACAATCTACTATCCTTTTGTGTCCTTTTTTGTTGTCAAATCCTTGGCCACACACTATTTTATTTAATTTGCGGTTAGTATTGGGTATCCTGAGTTCGAAATAGCCAATGGATTTGTGCTTCTATTTATTTATTTTTTTTTAAATTTTTGTTGCTGCCGCCTGTTGCAAAATTCATGCCACAATGTCAGCAGTTGCAAGCTACTCTGGCCCTTCGCCTGTTTCTGTTTCTGTATCTGTATCGGTGAGCTTGGGCGAGTGTTTGTTTCGCATAAATAATAAATATCTGAATGGGCATCATCATCATTGAGAGGCGGAACCAAGGGATGTCCTTCGATCCTGCTACGTACTTCGTCCTGCCAGCAGTTCCTTCCTGCTTTTTTTTCTGCTGGATAATGTGCGCCAATCAGTGTATATATATACATATACTATAGAGTATGAAGGCGGAAGAAAGATGACATCCCTGCCTCTGACACATGTGCATGAAAAATCGCTTTGCATACTTCGGGACGCTCTCAAGTGAGAGCTACCACTTGAAGGAAAATTAAAATTGACTGACGTTGATATTTATTTATGCCGTCTTGAGGGATGATTCCCGGAACCAGACCTGACTCGGATAAATTATGATAATTGAGTTTAGAGAACGTCAAGTCAGTGTTATTATTTTTAGCCAGCAACAAGCTGGCTGTGCTGATGGCAGCGATTACCCATCCCCTCTTACGTTCCCCCACTTGCCACAAAGTCACTGCCACTGCCACTCTTGCCACATTCTTCTCATGCCCCACCGCCCCTTAAAAATCATATCCATTTTCATCGCCTTTTGTCTCGCGCTGAAAGTGGAGCCACAAGTATGTAATCGGTCTCTCGATACTTGCCACTTAATTGTTTGCCATAAATTTTGATTTGCGCCATTGTTCTCGCTTTTATCCTGCCCCCCCGGACACCCCCATCTCTTGTGCCTCACTTCCATTGTATTGTTTTCTATACACTTTGAATCCTGCTGACATTTTATGGATTTTATTGTCAAAGTTTACGATGATGCTGTCCTCCCCTCCCACGATGGCAATTATTCGCAAAGTGATTTTGCGGACGAGTTGCTGCGATGCAACTTTCAGTTTCAATTTCAAATCACAGCCAATTTAAGTTTGACTTGCATTTCGTCGTCCCTTCCCTCAGCAAGCCTCTGGTTTCCACTTCCGTTTCCGCTGGCGACGCTCGTCTTCCGTCCTGTGACCCAGACCTGAACTCAATTGCAACGAGGCAACGGCAACGGCGAGGTCTAAGGTGTGAGGTCACTGCTGCCATTTGCCAAAAAGCTCAGCCCAGCGAGTCGCCACAGTGTCGCCAACTGGCCTGGCGTATCAATATCAGTCCTTCATTCGAGTCCTTTTTGGTGAAGTCAGTGAGTCAGTCCTCGAGGCATATTAACTCTACCATTAACTATCATCTGGATATCCAATTTTCGACACTCTGATCTATATGGAAGCTGGAATTTAAACCATATCGATGAAGGACCCTATCTTTCTTCTTTCCTGCCACAGAATTAGCCATGCAACTTTGTGGCACATTTCATACTATATGGGAGGGTAAGGAGGCTGCAGTTTCAGTTACAGCTTTTAGTATTTTTTTGTTGGTTCTGTTCCCGACAGCTGCCGAGTTGAAAAGTTGTCTCCTTCGTCTCCGTTTTACGGGGCTTTTAGCGTGAAATGTGCACGCGGCACGTGCAACATATGCTGCCTGCCACATATGCTGATGATGAGGCAGTGCCGGAGCCTGAATCCCCGCCAGCTTTTCAGAGCCAGCACCATCGCCGCGAAGGCATCATTAGCATGGAGTGCCGGGGCACAGAACTCACTCGGGGTAATGTGAAACCGCTGCCACGCCCATAACTAATTATGACAGAGGGTCAAGAGTGGTAAGGGAGGAAGAGGGGGCAGGGGGAGTGTGTGGCATACATTGTACTTGCCGCATACAGTCGTATAGTGGCCATTAGCCTCGCTGACCGCCACCGAGTACGTGCATTGTATTCATTACACAAATGCCTCTCCAGCTGCCAAAGGACGACGAGACTCCTGAGGGGTATACCAAGTGGTTGCGGAGAGGGGAGCGCGGGCGGCATGGCAGGACAACAGGTCGCTGTGGTCATCCATCGGAATGTTTAGCTTCCTGAATGGCTAAGCCCGAACAATGAACGAATGGAATAATTACAGAGCTCTTTCGGGGCCATTCTGAAGGATACAACGATTATCTAGATATTTCTTCAGATTTTATTACTAAAATCTATTGTTTTTTGTGTAGGTTCTAACTAAGAAATTAGTTATTTACTTAATTAGTTAGTTGGTTAACTAAAATATGAATTATCTTGATAGTGAAAGTGCGTTAACTGGAAAGAGTGGAAAAGACATTTTCTATAAGGGTTGCATTTAAAATATTTAAAAAATTTTAAACAATATTTTTCTTTAGAATTTTTAAAGAAGACTTTTAGAGCATTTACCTAAGACTAGTTTGAGGTATTATATTTAAGGATTATTAAAAAAAATAAGAGAGATATAGGGGGTTATATGATGAGGTCAGTTCTGGCTCATGTATAAAAATATAAAAATAGGTTTCTTGGGTTTCTATTTAAACAGAGACAAAAATAGTTTAAAAACTATATTAAAATTTAATCTTTTCATAAAAACCAATCAAAATAAATTATAAAAATTAAAGAAATCATACAATTTCTCATAAGAAACATGCCCTGAGCTACTCTTTCTTTTAAGAAACCAATTAAATCAAACTCGCAATCTTGAGGCCAATTGATTTCAAGTTCTTGTATGTTTTTGTAAGGATGTATGTTTGTTTCTTTTGTGCCATTTTTTTACCTTTCATTTCTGTCGATTTCTGTTAGTTTTTTTTTTTATTTTCCAATTCAGAACCTTACCCACCACCTCTCCCTACCTACCTTGTGGCGTGCTCAGTCATCTTATTCGGCTTTTGCTTTGGGGTCTCGCTTTTGTTTGCGGCTCTTTTAATTTGTTGCGATTTCTGCACGCTTGCATGCGTCCCCATGCCCATTACCACGCCCCCTTTCAATGGTAACGCCCATGCCCTCTGTCCCCACCACCCCCCACGGCCTTCTCTGGCCGACTTTACGCTCGACTTAATTTGTTTACTGTTGGTTTGGGGCCATCGCTGTTGCCAAATCAAAAATAATGTACGCCACCCGGGTTTCCGACTTAACGTCGCACCACTGACCCCAGCCATCCAGCCACCCAGCTACCCTCACTACCCTCCCACACACACACACACACCTGAGCCACCACGCCCATTTTTCCTTATATTTTTTTTGGGAGGCAACTGAATGAAATGAATGCGCCAGGGTCGATGTTGCTGTCGCCTGCCCTGCTGCTGCTGCTGCAGTATTTATTCAGGTATGGATGGTGGGACGTACGCCATGCCACGCCCCCTTTGGCCTTTTGTGTCCCTCCCTCTGCCCCTCTATCCTCTGAGCTATGTCCCTCTCTGTTCGCATTTGTTTTTATGACACAGAACCGCGAACTGGAATCCAAAAACCAAGCCGATTTTGACCCTCGCATATGCTGCTATATTACCATATAACCTCCTACGCGCTGCCCATCGCCATACTCCTCCTCCCCCCTAATGAATTGCCTTTTTTGTGGCAGCTTTTCATCCCCCACATCACCCCACTCTCCCCTGGCATTGTGTGGCACGTTTTATCTTTAATTGTGCGTTAATAGCGTAAACATTTTTGCCATTTTGCATGCGGCATCGCTCGATTCTTAATTGCTCGCCTAAAAGAATGAGTCCTTGGCGCTCATTTGGCCATGCATTAAGCCCAGCCCAGTCCCCAGTCCCGCCTACTACCAACTACCAACTACCGTCTACCGCCTACTTGGCCTTGTGCGAGTTTTGTTTGTGTTTTGCATTTGAGTTTTTGAGTTTGCGCCAGAAACGAGAAACGAGCAACGTGAAACCAGAAACCTAAAAACCAGAAAACCAAAAAAAAACAAGAAAGGAAAGCTAACTTCGGGCGGAGCCGAAGTTTATATACCCTTGCAGTTAAAACCGGATATATATCGCAAACATCGGATATAGTTGGCCGATCCTTATGGGAATAGGAATATATAATCCTATTTATTTCAATACAAAATCTAAAAAAAGACCCAAACTTCTATCTTCAAAAATACGAAAGTTGATATTTCTACCAAATACCATTTCCGATCGTTCAGTTATATGGCAGCTATGGGATATAGTCGGCCGATCCTAATGAAATTTGGTAGGTTGGATCAACTGGCCAAAAATATAATCTGTATTTAGTTTTAGCTTTCTATCTTCAAAAACACGAAAGTTGGGTCATTTCCGATCGTTCAGTTATATGGCAGCTATAGGATAAAGTCGGCCGATCCTTATGAAATTTGGCATGACGTAATGTTTTGCCAAAAATAGCTCACATGTCAAATTTGAACTATCTAACTCTAAAAACACCAAAGTTATACCATTTCCGATCAATCAGTTATATGGCAGCTATAGGATATAGTCGGCCGATCCGGGCCGTTCCGACTTATATACTGCGTGCAAAGGAAAGAAGGGTGTGTGCAAAGTTTCAAGACGATAGCTTTAAAACTGAGAGACTAGTTCGCGTAGAAACAGACAGACAGACGGACAGACAGACGGACAGACAGACGGACAGACAGACGGACAGACGGACAGACGGACAGACGGACATGCTCATATCAACTCAGGAGGTGATCCTGATCAAGAATATATATACTTTATAGGGTCGGAGATGTCTCCTTCACTGCGTTGCACACTTTTGACCAAAATTATAATACCCTCTGCAAGGGTATAATAAAACCAAAAGTGCAACGCGAAGGCTTTTAGGCGACAAATGGCAGGCCGAGTGGCAGGTCCGCCTCAGGTGGCAGCCATCCAGTTGCCAAAAGAGCACTCTGCAACCGGAGAGCCAGAGTTCCATATATGAGATGCCGGATGCCTGATGGCATTGCTCCGAAATCTGGAAATTAATTGATTTCTATCGTTGCTTGGCTTAAAATCCAACAAAAAGTCACAGTCAGGCTTTAAAGGATATTGGATATAAGAGTAATTTAGATTTATGGCGCGAATGTTTATGTTTAGGACAACACTGCGTATGAGTAATTTATGGGCGGCCATTACAAATATTACTCATACGCTCTGTTGTCTCAAAGTTGCTTCTTGATTAATTATTGCTTTTCTTCTTTAAATATTTTAATTGAAATATTTTTTATTGAAAATTATCAAGGTATTTTTAATTTTTCAAAAATAAGTCTTTATTTAATATTTAAGTTATTTCGCTGCCGATTTGAAAACGAAATACCATTTATGAATCAGGGCTTCAATATCCTCCTATCTGCTTTTAAAGATTTGGGAAATATGAGAAAAAAAATTTGACTAAATTTTTGGCTAAAAATTATGAAGGTACCCCTTTAAAAATTTTCGAAAAATGGGTCAAAATTTCGATGGCCAGGTTTTGATAAAAAATGATTCTACTTAGTTTTCTAAGATCGGGAAGGTATACCATTTGTGAATCTGAAAAGTATTAGTTGAGTTATAAAATTTTTTAAGTTTCCTTAAAAAAAATGAAGCAATTGAAGCCAGTTATTTGAAATTTTTTTTTATTATAATTTAATTTTTTTTTTACATTTTTTAGCGGATTTCTCAACTATTTCTCGCACGATTTAAAAACAAAATACCATTTTTGAATCAGGGCTCCAATCCCCTTCAATCTGCATTAAAATTTGGCAAGTTTGGAAAGAAAAAAATTTGGATCAAATTTTTGTCAAAAATCATGAAGGTACCCCTTTAAAAATTTTCGAAAAATGGGTCAAAAATTCGATGGCCAGGTTTTCATTAAAAATGATTCTACTCAGTTTTTTAAGATCGGGAAGGAATAACATTTTATAATCTGACAAATATTAGTTGCGCTATGCACTTTTTTCTTTAAAAAAATTAAAAAACTGTAACCCGTTTTTTGACATTTTTTATTTTTAAAAAATCTGATTTTTTTATATACTTTTAAGCGGATTTCTCAACTCTTTCCCATGCGATTTCAAAAAGGGATACCATTTATGAATCAGGATTCTAATCTCCTCCGATCTGCATTAAAATATTGCAAATATGAAGAAAATAAAATTTTGACCATTTTTTGGTCAAAAATCATGAAAAAAAATGTCGAAAATTTGGTCAAAATTTCGATGGCTAGGTTTTTAACGAAAAGGTGCTACTCGGTTTTCTAAGATCGGGAAGGTATAACATTTTTGGATCTGACAAGTATTAGTTGAGTTATGCAAATTTTTTCATCACAAAAGTTGAAAAATTGGGAAAAATATTTCTCCTTTGTTCTTGTTGGCTAACATTTTTCTAAAAATCATACTAATACGGGGGGTTGAATTAATTTACATTTTTTTTGTGGAAAAGAGTATTACCCCAACTGCGTATGAGTAATATTTTCCAAAAGACAAACATTACTCATACGCTCTTTTTAAGCTAACGATGCCGAATATTATTCTTCATAAACTACTCCTGATTTAATATTAATATATACTTTATTAACACTTTTTAAGGCAACTTAATGGCACACTGCCACCCAGTTATGGAGTCTTTAGTGCCATTTTGCAAGTCCCATAACTTGGAGCCAAGTTAACCGCTCGTATAGCAACATGAAAGAGGTCAGAGTGCAAGTCAAAAGGCAGTCACTAGTCACTCCATAAAGCAAAATATAACAATGTTAAATAGAAGAGGATGCAGTGTTATGACCTGACAGTCAACTGTCATCAATTTGCTGCATTTGTAGCCAGATAACCCAAAAAACCAGAAACCAAAAACCCGAAAGCCCGAAAGCAAGCCAAAGGACTTTTCCGCAGGACTCAGAGATCGGAGTGGGGAGAGGGAGGGGGCAAGTTAACAAGCACTTGAGTGCGCATTAGAGGCAAACTGCAAGTTGTTATCCAACCCAAATCTAAATCCGAAAGCCCCCATCCCCAGCCCCAGCCCATTCCAGCCCGGTTCTTTCGCTTCACTTGCTTTCGCCTTCAATCAGTGTTTTTTCCCCTTTCTCCCGCCTCCTTTCACTTTCACTTTCTCTCCCTCTGCAACTCTCTGGTGCTTTCTCCGGTTGCCTCGATTGCTTTTCAGACTCTCCACATATATTTGCCTTTCCATGGTTTACCACTTAACTAGTCATGTCCTGGCCACCGCACATGGTTCGAGCGTGTCTCCATCCTGGTCATCCTACTGAACTGCATCACCCTGGGCATGTACCAGCCCTGTGTGGACGATGCCTGTGTCAAGAATCGTTGCAAGATCCTGCAGGTAAGTTGGTCCTTCAACTATATTTTTTTATTTCAACCTTAAATGCAAGTAAATATTTTAAAATTAAATGGGAATAAGAGTCTATGAGTGGGCTGGGGGCTGAGTCATTGTGGGTTTTGTGTCCTTCGTCCTTGTACCGCGACTGAGGCTGAGAGAGAGGCTGAGGTATCCTGGCTCCCCAGGTGGGCCTGTCAGCATCGGTGTCACATTAAATGCCATTTATTTAAGCAATTTTTTGGCTCACTTCCTGACTTCCAGCCTGATGACATCCAACGAGGCACTTCGGCTCATTAGGCGGCGCCACCATCCCATCCTGCCACAAATGGGGGGTGGTTTTGGGGGGATGGTTGGGGCAATTACAGAAGCATAGAGGAAAATGGCGAGCTCAACGTGCGAAAATGTTTGTAAATGATATGTAAGTCGAGCGGCGAGCGACATTTTTGGCCGCAACCAAGTGTAAAGTAACACGACAGCTTGGGCCAGAGACCCCTCGACAAAAAATGAAACGGAGAAACGGCAGAGACAGGATACTTGTAAGGACAATAAGGAGTCGCACAAGGGATGAGGCAGGGGGCCAAAGGACCAAAAAGGACCTGAACCCCGTCAGGACAAGACAAGAGAAGGCACATCGCCAAATTGGCACACAGCACAAAGTCAAAATGACAACGACAGTCACAGTCAGTAACATAAGTGGGCGTAACCGCCCCCCGTCAATCCACTGACAGAGTCACCCCATCCCTTATGCCCCGCCCCCTCATATCCTGACGCCCATCCTGCAAACAAGCCAAATTACTTGAAGAAAGAAAAAGATGACGACGACGACCAGAAGGACGAGGAGAACGATGATGTCGCCAAGGCGAGCTCGTTGCGTGTGCATGTGATGACCTGTGGCACATCCTTGCCATCCGCCTTCGTCCTTCGACAGCCATTAAGTTGCGGGTTTGACTAATTTTCATTTGATCAAGTCTCGTTAGTGCATTGGGGTCATTAATCGAATTGGATTTTGAGGCGGGGGATCGAAACAAATCAACGGAAAGGACACACATGAAGAGGGGGTTGTTCCTTGGAAAAATTAAGGATAAATTATCCTTAAAAGGACCTTAGATAAGTCCATAAAAGGACCCTATAAAATAAAAAAGAAATAAAATATCAAATAGCTTCGATAATATCTTCTAATGTTTTCTAGTCTTATCCTGGATAGTCCTTTATCCTTTTGAAGGATATTTCATATAAAAACTGGAAGTGAAATTGTCAATTTAAAAAAAAAAAAAATTTTGGCGCCAACTTTATAATTCGCAAGTAGTTCTGACGTGGCCTCCCACCAGTATAAATAGAGGGCCGCCGCGAGGTGAAAATTTTTTTCGGCCAATTTTCAAAGTTTTTTTTTAGCGTTTTTTTTTAAAGCTTTTAACTTTTTAGCTTTAAAGCCATAAACTAGCCATAAAAAGCTTAAAAAAATTCCATAAATTAAAAAATAAAATATATATTTTTTTTTATTTTTATACCCTTGCAGAGGGTATTATAATTTTGGTCAAAAGTGTGCAACGCAGTGAAGGAGACATCTCCGACCCTATAAAGTATATATATTCTTGATCAGGATCACCTCCTGAGTTGATATGAGCATGTCCGTCTGTCCGTCTGTCCGTCTGTCCGTCTGTCCGTCTGTCCGTCTGTCCGTCTGTCTGTCCGTCTGTCTGTTTCTACGCGAACTAGTCTCTCAGTTTTAAAGCTATCGTCTTGAAACTTTGCACACACCCTTCTTTCCTTTGCACGCAGTATATAAGTCGGAACGGCCCGGATCGGCCGACTATATCCTATAGCTGCCATATAACTGATTGATCGGAAATGGTATAACTTTGGTGTTTTTAGAGTTAGAGAGTTCAAATTTGACATGTGAGCTATTTTTGGCAAAACATTACGTCATGCCAAATTTCATAAGGATCGGCCGACTATATCCTATAGCTGCCATATAACTGAACGATCGGAAATGACCCAACTTTCGTGTTTTTGAAGATAGAAAGCTGGAACTTAGTACAGATTTAATTCTTGGTCAGTTGATCCAACCTACCAAATTTCATTAGGATCGGCCGACTATATCCCATAGCTGCCATATAACTGAACGATCGGAAATGGTATTTGGTAGAAATATCAACTTTCGTATTTTTGAAGATAGAAGTTTGGGACTTTTTTTAGATTTTGTATTGTAATAAATTGGATTATATATTCCTATTCCCATAAGGATCGGCCAACTATATCCGATGTTTGCGATATATATCCGGTTTTAACTGCAAGGGTATATAAACTTCGGCTCCGCCCGAAGTTAGCTTTCCTTTCTTGTTTATTTTTATTTCTCTGCCATGTCCTTTTTTGAGGCGGGGGATCGAAACAAATCAACGGAAAGGACACACATGAAGGGGGGGTTGTTCCTTGGAAAAATTAAGGATAAATTATCCTTAAAAGGACCTTAGATAAGTCCATAAAAGGACCCTATAAAAAAAAAAAGAAATAAAAGATATAATAGCTTTGATTATATCTTCCAATGTTTTCTAGTCTTATCCTGGATAGTCCTTTATCCTTTTGAAGGATATTTCATATAAAAACTGGAAGTAAAATTGTCGATTTAAAAAAAAAAAAAAATGTTGGCGCCAATTTTATAATTCGCAAGTAGTTCTGACCAGTATAAATAGAGGGCCGCCGCGAGGCAAAAATTTTTTTTCGGCCAATTTTCAAAGTTTTTTTTTTAGCGTTTTTTTTAAAGCTTTTAACTTTTTAGCTTTAAAGCCATAAACTAGCCATAAAAAGCTTAAAAAAATTCCATAAATAAAAAAATAAAATATATTTTTTTTTTAATTATTTTTCTTTTTTTATTTTTTTATTTCTCTGCCATGTCCTTAAAATAAAATCCTTCGTCTTCTCCCAACTCTTAACTAGATCTTCGATGACATTATCTTTGCATTTTTTGCCCTTGAAATGACCATCAAAATGGTGGCCATGGGCATGTGGGGCAAGAACACGTATCTGGCCGATTCGTGGAATCGTCTCGACTTCTTCATCGTCCTGGCCGGCCTTCTGGAGTACGTGATGCATGTGGAGAACCTCAACCTGACCGCCATCCGGACGATACGTGTCCTGCGACCATTGCGGGCCATCAACCGGATACCGAGTAAGTGCAGACACCATCTTGCAGTTCTCCATCCATACACTATCTAACCTTCTCTCCCATTGACAGGTATGCGGATCCTGGTGATGCTCCTGCTGGATACCCTGCCCATGCTGGGCAATGTCCTGTTGCTGTGCTTCTTCGTGTTCTTCATCTTCGGGATCATCGGCGTACAGCTGTGGGAGGGGATACTACGACAGCGTTGCACCCTGGAGCGTACCGTCGGCATGGTCTATCCCATCACGTAAGTTGCTAAAGGACGAAGGACAATCGTTCGTTCGTTTTTCGTTGGGGGTCTTTCTATGTGGGTGAGGGGGATGCCATGCGTTGGTCTCTGTCTGCGGGCGCCTCTGAGTCTCATACATAATCATGTATACATTAGGCACATACATACATGCATATATCCTTAGGCCTATATATGAAATATATATATATGTATGCTGTATATATATACCACTATATATAAGTACTTATGTATCTCGATTCGAATACCCGTATACTCTATATACTTGTGTATATCTTTTTGAGTCTATATATATATATTATATTTTCGGTTGTATTTTTGAGGGCCGCGAGCCTGCTTCGAGGCTGCTTTCTTCATACTCTCGCTGTTTGCTTTTTACAATTTTTGGTTTTTTGGCTTTTGGTTTTTCGCCACAAAACAGAAATACAAAAACAAAAACAAACACAAACAGAAACAAAAACACTAACACACTGACACACACACCAACAAGTTGAGATCCCGCCGAGCCAGCTGCATCAATGTCCTCGCAATTTGCATACGAAATCCAAAAGGCTGCCAGCGTCAATTTGATGAGGTCCGTCGCCCTGTCCGTTGTCCTGTCTCCTGTCCTTTGTCCTTGCTGTCCTTGCCCATCCTGGTCCCACCACCCGCTGGGCCAACCATTTGCGGTCCCAGAAACAGGCTTCTTGTGGTCGTGACAGCAGCAGCAGCAGGGATAAGGCTTCCAGGAGCCTGCACCGTGGGTGGCAGGATAATTTTTAATGAGCATATTCGGTTAAATAATACGTATCCTTGACTCGGCATAACAATTTAAACGGTTTAAGGTTCAGTTTTTAAGGATAAATGTCAGAAAAGTATAAAATTGCCGATGAACAGGCCGACAGGACATTCACTAGAGCCTTGAATAAGGATAACAAAAAGGCTTTAAAAGATATGCTAAAGTCAAAAATATAAATCCTTCAAAAATATCCTTTCCTATTCTGCATTATCCTTAATCCTTATTAAGGATATTCCACATAAAAACCGAAGTTAAAAAATAGATCATAAAATTATAAATTTTTTTACTTATTTGCGGAAATGTTATAATTCGCAACCGGTTCTGGCACGTCTATAGGGCTTCCCCTATAAATAGAGGGCCGCTGCGGGCTAAAATTTTTTTTCGAAATTTTCTTAAAGTTTTTTTTTTAAGAATTTTTCCGAAACTTGTATCTTTTTAGCCAAAATACCATTAGCTAGCCAAAAAAGACTAAAAACAGCTAAAATTCTTCCAAAAAATATAAAACAAATAGATCAATTAGCTTTTATTTAAAACTTTTTTTATAAAACTCCTTAAAAGTTGAAAAATCCTTCAGGAAAGAGTCCTCAAAACCGTTTCACTGTGCTGTCGTCATCAGATGGCCAAAATATTTTAAACTTGGCCCAAAACAATCATTTATCATTGAGCCGCGGCGGTATTACAACGCGTCACACATGCTCACACTCACATACAGGCAAACAAAGACACACACACACACTGACAGGCAAAGGAAAACATCGCAGCCCTTTAAAGTAGGCAACGGAATTTTTGTGGGTCGCTGCGCGCTTCGCTCAAGAAACTTCATTTTGTTTTGCTTTGTTGGCCTTCGTTTCTTTTTGTTTTGATTGTTTGTTTTGTTTTGTTTGTTTGTTTAGTTGTTTGTTTGTTTATTTGTTAATGCATGCCCAGCTGTACAAAGTGTGTGTTTAACCGCCAACATACTCACATAAATACGCAAATAAATTTGAGCTTTTGCCGTATTCCTTCACGGAATGTGTGCCATCCGCAATGTTTTGGTTTTCCAATAATTACTGTAAATAATCAAGTGCAACTGGCATTGCATAGTCCGGCTTATTAGTTTTGGCATTTCGTTTTTTTTGAGAATTATTTCATATTTTTGTCTATTTTTTGTACAAGAAGTATGTATTTTGTAGGCCAAATGGAAAGCAGAATTTTTAAAGCCCTTAGAACGGCTATTCATTTTGTTTTTGGGAATCTTCTTTTTTTTAGTATTTCTCATTAAAATTGTATTAATTTTGCACAGGCAGCCCATGTACCATACAATCGACCAATTTCTGTGATATTGTATTGTGAGCCCTCGAAGTCATGCTGTATATTCACACCCACACACCCATACACACATCCTCACACTCACACTGCCACTCACAGACACAGACAAGCCAAGGAGGATAACACCTCGTCCTGGCTGGACAACCAAAAAAAAAAAGAAAAATGGCAAACCAATGTATAGATATATATGCATATATGTTCTTTTCCAGTTTTATGTTTCTTCAACTCTATTTTTTTTGTTCTTTTTTAATTTAATTGTGATTAAAACTGAAAAATATGAGAACAAATTATAAACTAATTGGCAGCCAAGAAAAATACAAAAAAACAAAAGCAAGAAAAACGAAATTTCCTAGGATATCTTCTCTATTGTTCTTTTAGTTTAAAAAAAAAACTTTACGTTTCTAGAAAACAATAAAAACAAAACAAAAATCTACCTACAAAAGCAGATAATGTGAAACAAAAACAAAAATCATACCGGGAACAAATTTTTTGTTTACAGGGGACTACCTGAAGTGTACAGAGTTCGAGTCCGTGTTAACTCGTAAGATAAAATTATTTATTTCCCCCCTTTACTAACCCACACACCGACACACCTCCTTTCCAAGAAAACACACTCACACACACACACTGCCAAAAACACATACAATATAATACTGAACCCCCCAAGTGGATACAAAACAGTTTCTTATAGACGTCTACTACTAAATACTACTACTACTACTAGCTAGCCCAACTAGATTCTGTCTATAAGTACTGATATCGATGTAAACTCTCCACCTGTGCCTCTAACTCTTTCTAGCCTAGCTCCATCCCGCTCTATCGCTACCTGTCTCTATCTCTAAATATTGCTATCTTTGTTTTGCCCTACTTACTTAAATAAAATATAAAAAATAAATGAAAAATGTAGCCATAAATATAAATGGAAATCGGGTTTAAAAAGTATCTTTCTTGCTCTAATCTTATGACTCCCTACCTCTTTCTGATAAACACTAGCCGTCACTTTCACACTCGTTTGTTGGAACCTCTTCACCCACACACTTATACAGAAATACACACTCCGAAACACCAACTCTATTAGTAGATGTGCATATATCTATTATATTTAAGTAACAACTTGGCCATATACGATATAATACAAAATACGATTTGTTCTAGTTCCGTCTCTAAACAGCTCTCTCTATCTGTCTCTTTCTTATTGTATTAGTAATGTTTTTTATAAGATATACGAATATATATACATATATATACATACGAAATACCAGAGTTATACTAAATAACTAAACTAAAATGAACTAAACTAAACTAAACTAAAAACTAGACAACCACTCAGCATACCGAGTAGCTCTAGCCCCCGTCTCTTTCGAACGCTATCTCTTTGTCTCTCTCTCTCTACGTGTGTGTGTTGCTATATCTATCTTTCCAAACACTGGTCTTCACCGATTTAAACACCCAGAGCAAGCCCCAAAACTTAACCCGTCTAAAGCCACACACAGCCACCATAGTTGTTAACCATCTTGTTTAGTTTTTCCTTTTTTGGTTTTTTTTTTCGTAAATATCCTGAATATATATATCTATATATATATATATGTATTTTTAGCCTTAGCCCATTTGATGTACGCTCCATTTTTGTGTCTAGAGTTGTTGATGTGGCACCACTTGAACCTGATCTCAACTGCAAACTACACCCAGTTACTATCCACCCACACTCTCACACACAATCCTATACTATACTATACTATATATATTATATACATGTATAGAATCGGGGTCAGAGGGCGTCGTCTGTGTCGTCGTCTCTGTCGCCTTTACTGCCTGTATTTGTTTGTGTTGCATTTGCCAAATATTCGGTTTTTGTTTTTCAATTTCTTTTCTTTTTTTTTTTCGTTTGTGTTTGAGGTTCTAGAAACAAATATGACATGTTTTTGGGAACCCCCAGGAAGTTAGGGCACAAACAACCGAAATAACAAGCATACCAATTAGCAACAGCACACTCACACACACAAGGATACAATGCCGACACAACAAAAAAGGACAATTGTCCTTTCCCCACAAAAATGGGCTATGAAATACCATATTACCCTTTTCACCCCAGAGTGGTTTAAAATAATACTAAAATAAAATACTAAAAAAAAAAAATTATTTCTTAGATTCTAGAATTTGGAATAAAAATAAATAGCAAATATTTCAAAATAATACTTAGCTCTCAGCACAAATTTTAAACCAAAATATCCTTGCACTTTTTTGATAAAAAAAATCAACATTTTTGATTAAAAAAGCGAAAGCTAACGGTATTCAAAAGTCGAGTTCGACTCTTCTTCAGTTTTGTTTTTTTTTTTTGAAACAACAACCACACATACTGTTATACTGTACAGTGGAGCACAGTAAAATGGAGCACACAAACAAACAAAAATAAAAAACACACATACACAGGCACAGGCACACTATGTCCCGCACACCAATACGCTGTCTGTGTGTGCGTATGTATGTGTATCTCTTGTAAGCTGAACTCTTTTTACAGGAAAAACCATCAGTTTCTATTGCAAAGGTATTTAAAGCTGCCCCCTGCTACTCAGACATCAGACATCCTTAGTCCTCCTTCTCCTCTCCTCCTGTCACTCTCACACACACATACACATTCAAATCAAGTACAACAATTACACACACACACACATAGGACACATAGGACTCCACATGCATACATACATTGAAGCGTGCGAATTGTTGCGAATTGTGCAAAGAAATATGCAGATGGTGGGGCAAGTGGCAAGTGTGTGTTGAAAAAAAAAAACAGAAAAAGAAAGAAAGAAAGAAATGTGTGACAAGAGGAAAGGCAAGCGGAGAATATTTCAAAATTCACTTGCGGTGCCGCCTCCATCTCACTCTCCTTCTCCTTTAGTCCTGCGTCGGTTTTTTTTAGTGCTTTCGCTGTCAGTGCCGTGCTTGCACGTGCATATTAAATACATTTTATTGTCGCACACGCACACAGACAGGTCCTGGCAAATACTCACACACAGGCTGACACCACCAATACATATGTACATACATACCAACACACTCGGGCTGACACTCGGGTTTTGAGGCAGACAATTTTTTGAAGTCGCAAGTTTCCGGCGTCGGCCATTTTGTGGCAACATTACGCGTTTAATTTAAATTGCTTTGGCGTTTTCATTTCCTTTTTTTACGAGGTAACCCCCTACTCCTCAGTCTCCCTTTCTCTTTGCCACCTCTGCTTTGCTTTCTTTTGGCTTCCCTGCTTTGCTTTAGTTTCCATTTTTTGTTTCTTTTTTTTTCTGTCCGTTTAGTTGGCGCTTTGTGGCTCGCTTATGTCTCACTCTCTTCAGAAAACAGTTATGGCTCTAAGAGGCTCTAACTGTACTCTTGCTCACCTGCTCTGTGGCTTTGTCGCTTACTTAGATCCTCTGCTCTCTCCGCTCTCTCCGCTCTTACTGCTTTCTCTGACTTTCCGGCTCTCCTCGTGTGCGGAGGAGAAAAAAGCTTTCGTCTCACTCACTATCGATCACTCACCTGCTCACTATCTAACCCCCACTATCGCTTTTTCAATCGCTATCCCTTTCTAATCGCATTAGTCAACCGTGTCTCACTCTGTCACTCTCTGTTCAGTTATGTTTAGCTTTATCGTTTTGCCTCACAAATTGGCATTATCTCTTTCACTCCAATTAGTTGAATGTTCTCGTGAGCGGATCAACCTCAAAATTTAGCACCAAAAATCAAAATTTAATTATGCTTTTATTTTAAACATCTATCTGTCTCTCTCTCTCTATCTACATATCTCTCTGTCTACGTAAATCTCGATGTAAACATACAGATTTCTTATTCAGGATTAAGGATCACGATTATTAATTGTTCTCTTTGTGCTCTCTATTTATCTCTCTCTCTCTTTCTATTTCTTTCTCTCTCTTTCTTTGGGAAAATATTTGGTTCTCTCTGTCTCTTTCTACATATATATATATATCTCTTTCTTACTCTGGTGTGAAAAATTGTATTTCGTACACTTTGTTTCTTTGTGTGCTGGATGTTCTTCTGATCGAAACTGAAAATCGCATCCCATGACTCTCCTAATTCTCTGTAAACATCGCACCCCTTAGCCTGTCGCAGTACTACGAATTCTCCAAGGATCAGGACTACATCTGTTCGACGCCCAACGATTCGGGGATGCATCTGTGTGGTAATTTCCCGCCCTATCGGATCGGCTCCATGGTCTGCAATGGTAAGTCCCACGTACTATTTACTCACACTCCCTAGTTAACCAGTATTTCCAGTCCCCCACATTCACATCAACATCCTCATACCATGTCCATGCCCATGTCAATTACATTAACTTTAGAGCTAAATGAAGTGCAAATTGCGCCGTAATCAAATTTGATGGCATTTTTAATTGCCCTCTCGCTGTCGCTTAATGACAGCCAGAGCCACCGAAGCAATCACAATTACAATTACAACAATACGCTTTCCGTTTCCGCTTTCCCTCGGTCTGGCTCTCGGTCTGGCTCTCGGTCCTGGTTCATCCTTCATCCTACTGCAGAGGAGGCCAAGCTGTTCGACTTCAATGAGCCAACGAACACGTCCTGTGTCAATTGGAATCAGTATTATACCACCTGCAAGCCAAGCGGCGAGAATCCCTTCCAGGGCACTATATCCTTCGATAATATCGGTATGGCCTGGGTGGCCATATTTTTGGTAAGAAATTAAATATAAAATTTATTACTAAAGCTATCCATCTGAAACTTTATATACATTTTATTTAAAATATTCCCCATGTTAAAATATCTATATCCTTTACCTGTTTTATATTATTTAAGTTTTAGTACCCAAAATATCCCAAAACTAATTTCCAAAATAATAATCCCTGGAAACCCAAGTATTTTTCGAGTTTTTCATTAACAGCAAACAACTTTATGGTATGACACTTATCCCCCTTGATTTAGTATTCCCTGTTTGCTTTAAAATCCCCTCGCAATTAGTTCTCAACTTTGTTGAACAAATAGTAGCAACAGCAACAGGCGAGTAGCAGCAGAATGTTGCATGCTAATTCAGTGTCAACTGTGCCCCAACCCACTCCCCCAAAAAAGGAAAACAAAACAACTGTGGCGCCACAGTTGGTAACAAAATCTAGTAGCTGGAGGAAGAACAATGAAACAAGATATTGAAAACGATATTGTAATAGATACTATGTACAATGGTGAGTCGTTAAGTGGCTGCCGGAGCATCCCACTTATAAATTCAATCCTCCTTCGAGGCCTGGGCCTAATTGATATGTCAATTACGGCCGCGAGCCGCAGGACCCATTGGTATGCAGGTCAGACGGAGTAATTAAGCTGAAATCAAGTGCATATTATAGCTATGAAACCAACACCGTTAACTTGCTCGCCGAACGGTTTGTTTAATAACCCCACGGGGGCAAAGGTCAGATTTTGGAGTGGTGGCTTGCTAATAATGAGCCAGATTTCTAATTGTGCCTACTTGAGTTAATAAATAGCTATATTTTGGAGTTATCTGACTAATTTAGGGCTCAACAAATACTATTAATACCTTGTCTTACTCTTAAAAAATTATTTAAAATATATATTTGAAATAATCTAATATTATTTTCATCCAACTAGACCCTTTAAACCCCTTTACCTACCTTAATTATAGTTAAACCCATCTATTTAGCATTTTTCCCAATTTTAAAATAATCATAACATATTATTTTTCTACTGATGTGACCCCTTTAATGCCCTCTCATGCCCCCCAATATGAATCACGTAAACTTAGGTCAGTTTTTGCCTTCCTCAACGCCTGCATCCGCACACATTACGTATACGTGACGTGGTCCGACTTCCAAAAGGCAATCCTAATTGCTCGCCGACGAACAATGGCGGGCGTGAACAATAAAACGCCTGCCATGTGCTTTACTTTGCATACTCTATAGTACATATATACTATAGTATATATCTTTTTGTGAATGTGTGAGCTCACGCTAATTACGGTGAAATATTTGCTGGATTTGCAGGTCATCTCACTGGAGGGCTGGACGGACATAATGTATTACGTGCAGGATGCGCACAGCTTTTGGGATTGGATATACTTTGTGCTGCTGATTGTGGTGAGTAGAGTGTTGTAGAGTGGAAAGTAGAGGGCCTGTCTGGGCGCTGCTTTGATCACGAATTGAATATTTAATTCAGAACCGGGCTTAAAGCGACTTAAACTTTCTCCTCCGAGACTAATTGGTCTGAGGCAGCCGGTGGGCCAAGGGGTTCTTGTTTATAAGGTGGGCAATTTTTATTGTTACCTTACCGAAAGTATGCTAAAGCAATTTGCCAATGTAAATAAGTAAATTACTTTCAAACTACAACCACACGACACAGTCTAGGTAAAAAGTTAGTCCACGACTACTAGTCCTACAAAATACTACAAAAATACCATCATCTGCAATCTGCAATGACTGTCCACTTTCGGTTAGTGGCATCTTGGAGTGCCGGACTTGGGCAGGATTTGTGCTCAGGTGTCCTTGGACTAATTAAAAGCCTTTATAGTTCACATATACAAAGATACAAATACAGATAGCTATAGAGAGAGCAGTACTATCCAGACACACATGGCCAAAATTTCATTATTTATGTTTGAAGTTTGCTTAGCCCCAGCTCTCTAGTTGTCTCTGTCTCCTGCTCTATTACTATCTCTGTCTTTGTCGCTGTTCATTTCGTGTGCAAAATGATTTTACTCTTGTTGGGCAACAACTTTTGGTATGCAAATAGTTTCCAGTCGTTTTCCCTCCTCCCAAAAAACCCAGACTCCACTCGGTATTGGGTCGGTTCGTTATGGAAGGAAATTGCTTATTTATGTTTTATGCATTTTCTGTCAAGCTCACGAGTTTTCAAATTAGAAGCGCCTTCTTTGTTTCTGAAATATGTTTTCAATTTAAACTTTACCAGCATTTGGCTTGAAAGGGTTGCATACCAGAGACTAGAAACTATCGACTATAGAGATCTGAAGCCAAAAGCCAAAAATGCTTGTCTTTAAATTCAAAACTAAATAATTTATAAACCGAGAAACTTTTTTGTAAAGTTTTCTTTTGAAACTTCTTAGCCCAAACTAAGACTTAGCCTTGATGTGAAATTCAGTTGGAAAAACATAATCCCCGATCAGCATCTTGTGATTCCGTTTTGGCTGACCACCAGGTGATGGTGGTCCGTAGGGCTTACCCGATCCCCCAGCTAATTGAATTTAAGTGGCTAACGGAAAAAAGGTTTTTCCCCAAAGGTCCCATTTACAAGGCGATGGGAGGCATCGTGGGGGTGGAGGCTCTCCTATCGTGGGTGTGTTATAAACAAAAGCAAAGGCAAAAGTTTCAGTTTGCATTTGTCGCTGGCAGCAATGAAAACGAAAACTTTTAAACGGAAATGCGAAAAGTTTTCCCCAGAAAGTACGAAAGCGCCACCTGCCGGCAAGGACCTGGGCCAATTTATGCCTATATCTTTTATATTTATTATGGTTTTGATTTTAATACGATTATTTTGGTTGGCTTTTTAAAATTAACAAGAAATTTGGGATTTATTGAATAAAATAATGATATCCGGTACTACAGAATTTTTAAACATACTTGAGAGGGCATAGATACTAAAAGAGGAAAAATATAGCATACTTAAAAGGGCTTGTACGAATTCTTTAAATAGCCTTTAAAAGAATACTTTAAAGACTTCATATGAGAACTATACAAGAAAATCCTTTAAAAAAACCCCATTTTTTAACAAAAAAAATTATTTTTCCCACAGATTGGTTCGTTCTTCATGATCAACCTGTGCCTGGTCGTCATCGCCACCCAGTTCTCGGAGACTAAGAAACGGGAAATGGAACGCATGAGGCAGGAACGTGCCCGATACACCTCCACCTCGACCCTGGCCAGCAGCACAAACAACTCGGAACCGGCCACCTGCTATGCCGAGATCGTCAAATATATCGCTCACCTGTGGCGCCGCTTCAAGAGACGAATGTTAAAGAAGTACAGATTATATAAGTATGCTGCTTGTACCTTTTGATTTCATTCACTTATATTTTCTGTTCCTTGATTTAGTTTCCAGTTGAGTTCCCTATCTCTCTGTCTCAGTATCAGTCTCTTGGTTTTTTAAACATTATCCTTGATCCTTTTGAGTCTCAAATCTCAATCGAAATGCTCTAGGCTTTAGTCATTTTCAACAAAAATTAGCAACCTATCTCTCAAAAGGGAAGAATTCAAGCAGCGGACATGGAGTTTTCTCCTCAAAATCACATGATTTTCTTCAAATAATTAATCCATTCTATGTTTCTAGGAAGGAAACTTAAAACTTAAACATTTTGTTTAGTTTTCTTTAAAAATTTAAATTACTTTTGAAACTAAATGGAATGAATTATAAAATACTATTCATTCTACTTGGTTTCCATAAAAATCTTAAAATCAAAGCCCGAATTCTAAGGCAACATATTTTTTTTAAACATTTCTGGTATATATATTTTACAAAAATTTTCAAACAAGATTTTTGTGATTCAGTCTTGAGAAATGTAAGAATATGTTACAGTGGTATTCGGGTTATATTTTCTATTTTATTTAATTCTTTGTTTTTAAAAACAAAAGCTTAAGTTTCTATAATTTTTGATTATATTTTTGGCCTGTTTTTTTTTCAAACCTGCATCTGCTCCAGTGTCTCGCATCCTGCTTATAGAATATAGTCCTAAAATATCATCTCTAGGCTAGGGCATCTTGATTATTATGGCTAGTTTTGTCATCAGAAAAACTAGATCAGCTTTTGGAAAAATATTTGTTAAAAAAATAAAAGATAGACTGGATGCTGTTTGTTTAAATCATAACCTATAGCCAAGACTAACGAAATTTTGGAAAACATCAAACAGTAAAAGATATACATATATATCTCTAGAAAGGAAACACCTTCTTTAGATTAGTCTCCTTTAGAAATACATGAGTGAAACCTTGTAGAAAAAAAAAGTCAAACAAACCACTCCCTAGACAACCAGCTCTTAGTCCTTATCCTCTTGCCTTCCATCTTAAACCATGTACCTTATACCTTATCCATTATCCGTGTATCCTCTTATATCCCCTGGTATCCTTTGATATCCCTACGTGCCTCACACTCTAGCTGCCACACAGAGCGATGCGAAAAAAAAAACACAGAATACAGAGTACGAATGGCACTGAATCCGCGGATGGGACTCGTGTTAATTTGGATCATTTGCATTTTTGTACTGTCGTTGTCCTTAGTTCATTTGATTGAATTATGTAATTGCGATTGTTGTCTGTCTAATGGCTAAGCACACTCCCAAACACACCTCCACACACACACTCACTCCAAAGCGACATCGCACTGACACAATAAATGAAATGAGAGTGCACGTACAAAAGGACACCCCAGAGCCACCCCCCAAGACCGCCCCGAACCACCCAACCACCCACTGCATGTGCAAATTGCGAAATGCTACCCCCCCTCCTCGAACCTCTGATGACCTTCCCAACCCCGAAGCAAGTAACAAAAAAAAAAGGATATGACCCCACAGAGAACACGATGTTTTGTGTACAGACATGAGTGTGAACCGCACAAACAGTCCCCGAATGTGTTACTAATCGAGTTCTTATTCTATCCCTCCCCCACAATCCACCCATCCAACGTGCCACACTTGCCACATAACCGCCACCAGGTACCAGAGGCAGCAGCGTAAAGAGGGACTCCTCCCGAATGCCGATAATCTGACATTCTCACCGTCGCGGATCAAGTGCCACCATCCCAAGTGCCCCAAGTACAGTAATCGGAAGCCGTCCAGTATACAGGATCAGATGATTACCGTTATGGTGCCACTAAATTCCGCTAGCAACAATAATAACAACAACAATAATAATAATAGTAGCAATCACAATGGCAACCATCACAGCAACAACAACAACAATAATAGCAACAACCACAATAATGCGGCCAGTTGCACCACAGTTGCGTTGGTTAACGGTATAAATGGCAGTGCTGCCAGTGTGACCATGTCCTCGGCCCATCACCAACAGCATCAGCTGTTGCAACAACAACAACAACAGCAGCAGCAGGTCGCCCAGGTGCAACAACACTCCTCATCCGATAATACGGAACAATCGCTGACTGGAAACGATGGGGCAACGATACTATCCTCCAGTGGCATGCCACGCAGCTCATCACTGAAGAAATCCTCCGCCCACCACCAACTAAAGCCCGAGGGGAGCGGCGGGGAGCAGAAGACGATTCTTCTGAAGTTCCCACAGCAGGTGATCGACTCGGAGCAGCTAATTGTGAGTATGGGGGCGACTTTCGGGGGGCCAATATCCTAAAAAGAAACCATCAGAAATCAAGAATCACAAACCCACATCACAGAACACCCCAAAATTTAAGTTGGAAAATGTTATAAAATTAGTTATAATTCTAAACTAATAATACTATTTAAAAAACAACATTTTCCAAACTTAAAAAAGCCAAGTTCTTTCAGAGAATCAATTCGAACCTAAACATTAAAGCAAAATAAAAAAAGACAGAATATATATTATCATATTTCCAAATTCCCCTCAAATAAAATCCAAAAATATATATATATATATAGAAAGCAAACAAAAACATACAGACAGATAAAAATTAAAAAAAAAAAAACAGAACCCACTTTCCAATAAATAAAATAATAATAATAATCTTTCATATTTGTTGTAAACCCTGCTAATAGCTGCAGTTGGGAAACTTAGGCAAGGTACTGAACAAAAAACTGAATAATAAATAAATAAATAAATACAGTATTACCCAATTCGTACTAAACCGAATTCCAAATGCCCTGTTGACCTTTGACACTAAACGGACAGGGCATGCGGAAAAAGAGGGCCAATGGAAGAAAATTACAAATTGTAGATATAAACGATACGTTTGCATATTAAGTGCAGTTGGTTTCTCTCTTGTTTCTATTATTATTATTTTTTTTTAGTATATATAAGCATATATATAGCGATTGTCCCATTGATAAGTCGTTGGTGCCATTGTTCCAGCCCATTGTCCCGCCGAAAGGTCCATTAATTATTTATATCATTTCGTTTTGTTTGCGTATGTAAATGGCATTTGAGAGCAGAATAAACCCCACCGCCCTCCCTCCCGGTGTGTATATAAAAAAAGTGTACATATGTCCCAACCACCAAAGCCATTTATAGTTATGTATCCTTGTATATATATCCTTTCCCGCCATTAACACAATCGAATACATGTTAGAGGTGTTGTTGAAAATTTGTAACGATTAAAGTCCTGCCAGGCCAATGGGCAGTTGGTTAAGTTTATGGATTATGGGAAACTATAAAATTAAAGGGGGGGATATCGATTAGGGGATTTTGTAGTTAATACTTTGTGGTTTTCCTTTTTTTTGTGTTTTATTTTTAAGGTCCTGTAGGTCCTGTTCGTTAGGCCTTGTACAAATGATTCAAAACCAGAAAGCTAAAGCCCCAAATATCAAGCCTTGTAGTTAGACATCCTGTCTTCTAGTTTTAGAGCGTCATTGTAAACGTTGTCCTTTCATTTTCCTTGTCCTTGAAATCGTATCACCTTTGGGTCTGGTTTTTTAATAACTCTTCCCATACCCGTGCCACCGCAACAGAGCCATCCCTGCACCTCGGGCTTCCTCAGTCCGCCGACCTCCGCCAGCCGGCGTCCTTCCGTGATGTTCAACGAGTATGTCCTGCTGCACACGCCCCCCGCCCTCAGCAACGATCCGGCGACGGGCAACGCCTCCACGACAGCCACCACAGTGGCAACTGTGGCTGGGACAGCGGCAGCCGCGGCAGCCGCGGCAGCAGCAGCTGCAGCAGCAGCGGCCGCCACCTCCTCCTCCTCTGCCACCGCTGCTGCCACCACAGCCGCCGGTGGCAACAACAACCATAGCAACGGCAGTAGCCACAACAACAACCATAATGGAGCGGGGACGAGCGGTGGCATTGAGAAGAGCAACATCTTCTCCACCGAAAAGATGACCCAGGCAGGCGATGGCAGCATTTGGCAGGTGAGCTTGGATGCTTCATTCGAAGGCCCCATAACCTTATTCCCCCTCACCCTTACCAGGTCAACCTGCCCCAGACCATCGGCACTATTGCCAATCCCTATGCCGATTGCTCCGAACTGGGCATCCATGATGCGATGACCTGCCAGGAGCTTCTGGCCTTCTCCGTGGCCTTCTCGGCCGCCCTGCCCACGGGCCAGAGCACACTGGAATCGTTCTACTCCTCGCTGGCACGCTGTGATCCCCACACCGCCGAGGCGCTGAGGGCCCATCATGGCCACAAGCCACGCCCCCCGACAACGGGAACGCCCCAAACGGGCGAGTCAGGCGAGCAACTGGCCGTGGAGGCGGGAGAACTGGAACCCACCACCGTATCGGCTGTGGTTGGTAATGCCACTTGCACGGAAGTGGTGCCATCGTCGAACCACCGACGCAAGGACCACCATCAGCACCACCAGACAACGTCGCACCACCACCACCATCATCACAACAACAACAACACGACAAGCCACAGCCGCAACAATCGCAGCTCGAGGCCATCGACTGCCACCGGTCGCATCCACCGGGAGTCGTCGCACGCACCCACCGGCAACTACATGGAGGACTATGCCTGCTGCTACGATCTCTACCAGAACGCCCTCTCCCCGCTAGACGAGCGCCAGCGTCAGAGGTCGCCCACCACCCGCTGCCTGATCGCGGTCTACCGCTGCTTCTCGCGCGTCTGCAGCTGGATCCGGCGCTATATCCGCCGCCTGGTGGAGCACAAGTACTTCCAGCAGGGCATCCTCCTGGCCATCCTAATCAACACGCTCTCCATGGGCATCGAGTACCACAACCAGCCGCCGGAGCTCACAGCCATCGTGGAGACCAGCAATGTGGTCTTCTCCGGCATCTTTGCCGTGGAAATGCTGCTCAAGGTGGTGGCCGAAGGACCCTTCCGCTACATAGCCAATGGTTTTAATGTCTTTGACGGCATTATCGTTATACTCAGGTGAGATCAACCAAGAAAATTATAAAACAACAGGTCGTATACGTAATGATGGAGAAAATATTACGTATACGCCATGATGGAGGCATAAATAATAAAAACAGCGCCCTACTCCTTTCTACTAGACTTTCTACTTGTTAGGTCTTTAATTTTGAAAAAAAAAGACCCAACAGGTCGTATACGTAATATTGTCAATCAAATATCACGCATACTCCCTGTTGATCTTTTCTATTTAAATTCTGTTAATAACAACTCTTTTGTATCCACAGTGCCATCGAGATCTGCCAACAGTTCGTGGGCAACGGCACCGGAGGCGGTGGCTCCGGACTGTCTGTGCTCCGGACTTTCCGCCTGCTCCGCATCCTGAAACTGGTCCGTTTCATGCCCAACCTGCGACGCCAGCTCTTCGTCATGCTACGCACCATGGACAACGTGGCTGTCTTCTTCTCGCTGCTCGTCCTTTTCATTTTCATCTTCAGGTGAGTTCGATCGCTCAGACATGGCGACTACTTCAACACAACACAGACCACTAACAAGAACACCCAAACACACACATACAATACTCTTGCACTAAAATCAAACACAAACAAATCCAAAATGGAGAACATAACAAACACACACAGAAAACCAAATACAACAAAAAATCCACACAAAGAAATGCGGAAATAACAAAATTAATGATGAAATACAAGAAAATCGGAGAAAATAAAACCACCGATAGCCACCATCCAGTTCTCAAGCGCAATTCTACAAAACAAAAAAAAAAAAAAAAAAGAAACCTATATATAAAAGGAAGAACCAAAAAAAAAATAATGTGACTAATACCCAAGTACCCGAGCCACAGAAACAGTTCAGTTTCGTTAGTCCATAGCAGTCGTCTTATGCCTTTACTTAACAGTTACTAACTAGCTGCTTTCCACATAGATGAACGTCCTGTCAACCATTCCCATCCCTAAGACCATCATTCAGCCATAACACTCGATATTTTCTAACCTTTCCATACCAGAAGCTCATGATATAGGGTTGAGATTCTCCTAAATTCTCGTCGTTTATCAATAATTGATTATCTGACATGGATATTTAATATCCTTGACTCCCTTTATCAAAATTTTTAAAAAGTAAAACGTCCTTTAGGAGATCTTCACACATATACCCACCTCTCTTTCTCATTCTCTTTCTCGCTATCTCTTTCATGGCATTACCATTTTTAAACACAATAACATGTATCTCTTGAGACCCCCAAAAAACCCTCCGGTTTTCCCGTAATCATTTTATACGCTTTTTCGACACGTTCATTTCGATTATTGTACTATTGAGTACCACTTGAGTATTGTCTATTTGAGGATTTGTCTCTTCAAGTGATCTCGCTTCTATATCGATTTCTATATCTCTGTATCGCTTTCTCTCTCTCTCTTACACATCACCTAAGTTCTTAAGTTCTCAATCTTGATCTATTTCTCACTTACTGTCTCTGAGTAAAATTTGGAAAATATTGAAGAATCGTAGTTAGATGATGTTACAATTTGTGTAACTTTTTAAGCAATCGATCTTGTAACCGTACCAGCAAGAAATCTTGTCCCGTATCACTTGATATATATCTCTTTCTCGCTCTCTCTCTCTCTATCTTTTTCCCAATCCTGTTTACCCCTTATCTATCACTCTTTCTCTGTCTGTCTTCTCCCCAAGCCCCCAAAAAAAGAAATAAAATAAAATAATAAAAAGCCGTTAGATGTCGTACACTTTGAGTCCTCGCTCGTTCACTTTGCATTACTACTCACACATACACGCACACTCACACTCACACGCTGATACAGAAACATAATTGAGTGGATTTACGCTTTCTCTTTCTTACTCTGTTTCTATCTCTATCTCTGTTTCTCGCTCGGCTCACACTCTCGAGTTAATGCCCAGCACCGATAGTGTTGCTGACTTTACTTCTGGATTCGATAAAAGAATCTATTCCTTATTCTTTCCATTAACACACAATTGCTCTCTCTTTCTTACCAACTTATTCGCCGTCTCTCTCTCTCTCCCGCTCATTTAAAGTTCATTTTGGTTACTTGAGTTCCACACAGACACCACAATATAAAAACCAAACACCAGCTACTTAAGAAATAACAGTCACAGAAACAATTAGTTAGCTTAGTTAGTTAGACGAAAACGCTTTATTCCATTTCAAATTAACTAAGTGTGTATCCTAGCTTCTTTTGGCGTTAACCAACACTGCAACAAGACAAACTTAATACACAGTCACACTGCCACAATGCTACACTGCCACACTGCCACACTTTCCCACATTGAAAGCTCGGCTTTGTTCTTGATGCATCGCCTTGCCAAAAAAGCTTGAAAGACAGGCTTGGAAGCTTTGTTGTTTTGGAGCTTTAAGACACGCACAACCACAAGACACAGGTCCTACACTCAACAAAAATATTTTATTTTTTGGAAAAAGAATTGAAAATCAAGTATACATATCCAAAAAGATCGTACGCTTAATTATTGTGTAGTTGCAGTCGCTGCAGTTTGAAACATACCTACTACTACTATATATACCCATACTCTCTCTCTATCTCTATATATACTACCTATATATGGTTACTCGTAATTGATATATTCGTATGACTATGAATATCCCATATTCAATAATCAAACACACCCACACCACACAAGAACCAAAAAAAGTGAAACACCAAACAAAAGACACATTAGCTAGACTAGTTGATACAGTAAAAGTAATCGAGTTTGTGTAGTTAGAATAGCAAAAAAAAAGTAAATATTTAATAAAGAACATAAACACAAAACATACGACCAAAAATCCACATCATATACTGAATTACAAGATTAACAAACGAATAATGAACCGAGCGAAGTGTAAACGGAGCTGAAAATTAATCGATGCCAGCGTTGCAGCCGATAAACCAAATCGATAAACGCCTCGAATAAACTCGAAAGAGAAAACTAAAATAAAACTGAAAGCAACCAAAAACCAACAACTGAAAACTGAATACAGAAAACAGACCATGAGCCAAATACAAAAGCCATCAAAGCCAAGGACCTGTTGCCAACAAGCCCAACCGATATTTTCTTGAGTATTCCATCGTTCCATCGTGCTTATCGCATTCAGCCTCAGCTTTTGGAGTGAACTGTACTTTTGTTTCGTTTCCATTCTGTTCCGTGGTCCGATATCGCAACTCCTTGATTCGCAACTGCCTCTTTCTCTCTCTCAGTATTTATCCTTTGTTAGCTTTCGTTTGCCGCTCACTTCGCATACAAGGACACTGACTAGCTCTCACTATCTCCTTCTATCTCTTTCTCTCTCTATCACTCACACTCTGTCTTTTTCTTTCTTAAATATCTCTCTCTCTCTTTCTATATTCTCTCTCTCTCTCTCTCTGTTTCTTTGTCACACTCCACACTATTTAAAAAAAAAACTAACTAAACCAAAACGAAATAATAATCCAAATAAAATGAAAACCGAAAAATAAAATAAACCTAAAAACTTTATGCTTAAACACCACCCCAAAAAAACCTCCCCCCCAAAAAAAAACAAAAAAACACTATAAGAAAATATATATTATAAATATAATCCAAAAAAAAAATCAAATTTGAAAAACTACAAAACAACAAAAAAAAATATATATATATCATATTATATATCAACAAAACCAAACCATCACTTTAGTATACTCGGCATGAATCTGTTCGGATGTAAATTCTGCGAGAAAGTTAACGGAGAGATGATTTGCGATCGTAAGAATTTCGACAGCCTGCTCTGGGCGCTCGTCACAGTGTTCCAGGTAGACCCATTGCTATCAGTCTAATACCATATGTAACCTATATATATATATCTATACTACTACTACTACCTACTACTACTACTACTCCTAATGTTACGCCATAATCTGCTACTGATATGATTAATGATTAACTGTTCATGAAACCGAAAAATGAAAAAGAGAAAAACCCCCCCTCAAAAAAAAAGTAAACCCATAACGAATCCCTTCCAGAGAAATATATATTTTACTACGTTCAAGCATTTTGCTTTCTTTCGTTTTCAATTTTGCGCCCATTTCCGTTTCTATTTCGTTTACCGTTTCTGTTTCTGTTTCCGTTTCCGCTTCTGTTACAATTCGATTAACTGTTTGTTTTCCGCTTCAATCGATAACTGTTGTGACGTTCTATCGTTCTCTCTCACCTTAGCTCTAGCTCTCTGTCTATCTATCTCTCTCTCTAACTGTCTGTCTGTGTTTCTTTTCGTGTGTGTTTTCCATGTGTGAGTGTGTGTGAGTGACTCGCTCACAACACCCACAATTCTTAAATATTATTATTTTTTATTATTTTTTCTTTGATTATCGTTTTTATTATCGTCAGTTATCGAGATCGCTGCTAGCTAGCCGTCTCGCTCACTCGCACTAATTTGTGGTGTGCCCTTAAAAAAAAGAAGAAGAAAAACCTGCTTTAAATTTTAAGTTAATTTCGATAACATTTCGATAGCGATTAGAAATTATGAGTTGGATTTTGTTAAATGGCATGCATGCGTTTACCGTTGCGGTTACCGTTAGTGTTAGCCCCTATGGTTAGCGTTGCCGTTACCGTTACCGTTACCATTGCCATTTCCGTTACCATTACCTCGTTCTCGTTACCGTTCCGAGTTCCATAGCAAGCAGCGCGCATCAGCATGTGTGGTTCGGAGCATTCCACGTATGCGAATGCCAATGTAATATATTGTATAGCGATCGAATATATGTATATGTAAGCCATAAGAAACCATGAATGTCTGTATGTATTTGTGTGATGTACATTGCACCAGGTAAGCATTTCCGGTTCGAGTCTGTTGCTTTAGCTTTCGCTTCCGCTTCCGCTTTTGCTTTGCATGCCAAAAAAAAAAAAGAATACTGTATATATTGTATTATATAAATAGCAGTGTAGAAGTGAGCTTGCATCCACAGCATCCGCCACAAAAATCGCAACACTTTGCATAAAATACTCTCCAAATGACACTCCAATCTTTTTGTCCAGCTGTCACTTTCGTACTCTTTTTTTTATTGTATATCTCTCTCTCTGTCTTGTATAATTCTTGCGTCTTTTTTGTCACAAACACTCCAAATTCTTTTGCTCTATGTCCTAATGTCTAAGAATACCACCTATATCTATCTTTTAGTCCATATACTTATTCTAGACTCTAAGTTGTATAGAACTCCACCGAACCGCCTCTGAAAAGAGAACTCTGTCTCTCTGTCTCTGTCTCTCCCTCTGTCTCGCACACAGACACACCCACACCCACACACATACATGAGCATTGAAAGCCAACCCCCTCCACTGTAAACTATGCCCCCCGCCCCCCAAAAAATCTGACCCCTCAGGCACACATAGTACGACATCATAAAGACATGCATAAAAAAAATATAAAAAAAATATGACCAGAAACACCTACAGATTCTCAGATCAAGGACCTGTAAAAAATAATACCAGAAAATTCTCAATCTAGGAGGTATACATATGTATATACTGGCCAGGATCTCAGCCAGACCCACCCACTCTGTATATAAACAGACAGAACCCCACCAGAACAGAGTTGAGCAGAAGAATAGAGGACCCTCCTTCCAAAAAAAAATATATATATATATATAATCCCGATAACACTATATCCTCATGTTTGTACAGGGACCATTAGCTGAAACCTACTACTCGTCTTTTTTTTTTTTTTTGTATCCTTAAATATAAGAATAGCAACTATATACATATAAAATAAAAAGATATATATATCATTATATATATATATATGAACCCAGCTCTCTTTCTATATCTATGAACCAGTTTATACATATATATATATATATAGCCATTAATGAACTATGATAACAGACACACATCTATGACTCTATAAATAAATACATATGTATACGGTATATATAAAACATATATATAAACCTGCAGCATACTCGGCATGTATCTGTTTGGCGGTAAGTTTTGTAAATTTTTGGACGAATCCGGACTCGAACGCGAGTGCACGTGTCCCGAAATAATCAGCCGGCATCCGCAATGCGAGTGCGATCGCAAACACTTCAACAACATTTTGTGGGCCACAGTCACAGTATTCCAAGTAAGAACAATAATACAGCAATAATACAGCCAACCAAAAAAAAAATCCCATACCCACTAGCCCCAACCCATCCGAAACTTCCTGTATCACTTCCAAAGTTATCCAACCACCCATTGACCCCCGTTTTTTGAAACAACAGTTACAACGCAACCTATATATCTCAAAATCAGTCTGAAATTCTTGCGATTATGACAAAGTATTTAACAAATTCTTAACCTATAGCCACGAAAGTTCCCAAGTTTCTAGTTTTCTGCTCTTATTCAACTCTTTGTTTGGTTCGATTTTCTTTGCCCAAAAGTATAGTTCTATAACTATAAGTATTATCTTATCCATCTCCCGATTATATATAACTTTTCAGTTTATTAGTTTTCTTGATTTTTTTCGGTTTTGATGCCAGCAAATGTAGTTGTAGTTTGGTCCACTCTCATCATCATTCATTACAACAATCCACAAAGGTTTATCGATCGAGGTCCTGTAAATATTGTGAATAAAAGTCATCAAAGTGTCTGTAGAGATTTCAAGACTCTGCCAAAAATTTCATCTTTTCAATACTTCTACTCAAATTTGAATCACAATCAATTTTATCGATAAATTCGATTAATTATATCGTTGCTTTGACATCTCTATTATGCAAAAATTTGTGCAGCCATTTTTAATGTGAAAGAATGCCTTTTTCCCAAGGCTCTACACTTACATAGCCCCTCTTCTCAGTTTTCTCTCTCTTTCTATTTCTTTCTCCATCTCTCTCTCTCTCTCTCTCTGTCTGTGTCTTCCACTTTTTATCGATCACCCACACCCACATACCACATAAGCCAAGCAAATCGTTATCGCTGATGCTTCAAATTTTGTTGCATGATTTTGGGATCCTCACTTGACTTTGCTTTTGGCTTTCGGCTTTTTTTAATGCCAATTATATGTCAGATCAGAATAAACCCACCTCCACCGCCACGAAAAAGTCATACCATACCAAAAAAAAATTGTATATATTTGATTTTAAGTTTTTTGTTTGTTCGTTGGTTTGTTTGTTTGTTTGTTGGTTCGTTGGCTTGTTGACAAACGAAACAAAACGAGTTTTTTATTTCAAAATTTGCTGCTGCTGCTGCTGGTGCTGCTTTTCCCTATATCTCCTCGCCATCTCGCTATTTAACTCTATATATATTTCCAAAGATTTGATAATTTGTTGCTAAGCAAGCTTCTATATAACAAAAAAACGTTGTTTATACTTGTATCTTTAAAGTTGCTTATGCGCAATGCAATTGTACAGCCACAAAAGTTTAGAAAAAAAAAAACAAAACAAAAACCCAAACAACAACAAGAAATTTAATTTGCCTTTTCCATTAAACCGCATTAATATTGTATAGCAAAAAAAAAATATTTAAAATAAAAACCATACAATTGAAATATAGAAAACCCATTGGCACTTTGTGTACAAAGCAATAATAACCAACGAAAATTTCAGAAATTAATTCATTAAAATCCATTGAAATTTTTTAACAATTCGTATGCAAGCATTTTTTGCGCCTTTTTGCTTTTAGTGTATTTTTGTATTAGTTGTAATATTTTTTTAGTTTATTTCTAGTATGCCACACCACGAATTATTGTTTGAAAATATATATCTATTTTTTGAGCAGCAAATGAAAAGGGAAGCTGTTTGCATATTTTGCTTAAAAGAATTCTTTAAACATCCTTGATACTCATATTTTATTTTGCTTGGCTTTTGCTGAAATTATATTTAATTTTTTATAGGATTATGAAGATAAAACCCCACAAGTCAGGTCTCTTAAGTTGTTATTGTTATTTTCTGTATGTGCCTTTATGATTTTAAAGCGAAAATCTGAAAAGAACCCCAACTGCTAGTGTTATGTGCCCACCAAAAAATCCAAAATATATATAAATATATATATCAGATATCAGGAGTTTTAAATCCTTAGGGATTTTTATCTAAAATATAAAACAGGATATATATTTATATAAATTTTGAAACACTGTTTGTCGTTTTGCTCGCGCTCTCTCTTTCTCTATTCTCTATCTGTCTCTTTCTCTGTCTGTCTTTTGTCTGACATTTTAACATTTTAACATAAAAAATAAAAAAAAAAGATGATTTTTTTTCACTTGTACTTCGTATTTACTTCCAAACTTTCTGGTTTTTATTTCATTTTTGTACTTAATGCCACTCACCGCAATGAAATATATTTCAAAATTTGTTTATTCGTATTTTGTTCTTTTTTTTCTTTCGCTTCTTTCGATATATATATCGATATGTGTATCACGACCTATATATATATATACATATTTGAATATATATATATATAAATACAACCCAATGCGTACGTATGTTATATCTGCACCACGTTTTGCCGCCCTGCCACCTGCCAACTGCCACCGATCAACAACAACAATTCTACAATTCCAACAATTCCAACAACTCCAACAACAACAACAACTACTACTACAATAATCACCATCAAAAAAACAACAACAACAAAAACGCAAAAAAAAAAAAATGTTTTTAGATTCTAACACAAGAGGATTGGAACGTCGTACTCTTCAATGGAATGGAAAAAACAAGTCATTGGGCCGCATTGTACTTTGTGGCCCTAATGACGTTCGGCAATTATGTGCTATTTAATTTATTGGTGGCCATTTTGGTTGAGGGATTCAGTTCAGAGGTAGAGTTTTGCCAAACGACATCCCCCCAGCCCCTGTCTCCCCACTCCGTCCCCAACAATAAACCTCTCAATATCTACAAAAGCACGATCTATAAAATGAAAATTAATTATCTATGCTTTCAAGTTTTATTTGTTTAAGATAAGTTAAAAAAAATAAGTTTTTGAAATATTTAAAGGTAGTTTTTGAGTAAGATTCATAGGAAATAGTTCCACAAATCTTCTAGAGAAGATATTCTTCTAAAGAATCGATTAAAAAAATTCTATATTACCAAAGGAATTGTCTAAGAGGTTCGATCCTCAACCCCCAAAAGTTCAAAAATTCTAAAAAAATAGATCTTTTTATTAAATTAACTTGAATTTTTTAGATAAACCATTAAGAATTAATTTTTATAGTGAGTTATGTATGATATTTCCCTTAATAAAATTCTTAAAATTAATTTAAAGTAAAAAAAAATACCATAAAAATTGAAAGCATATTGAGATTATAACTCTTGACCCACCTTTGACCCTTTACGATCCACTAACAACAACCCAGGACTTGAAGAAACCCGGATCTATGAGCAACCACGCAAGGATGCTGGTCAAAGACCTTGTGAACCTGTACCTGCGAACCCTCCAAACCCAGACCCTGACCCTGACCCGACCCAAACCCGGACCCGACCCGCAACCGAAAGTCTAATTTTGAAATTTTGATTCCCTCAGCGAAATGAACGTCGCGAGCGCGAACAGCGCGAGTTGGTCAAGAAGCTCCGGGAGGAGACCCTGGCCGAGAACTACAGCGATGGTATGTACGACGAGTCCCGCAGCGAGGCGGACTCCTCGACGACCAATGACAGTTACTACGAGGTCCGGAACCGCTGGCGATCGGCGGAGGATGTGCGCAAGGTAAGTGCTATAATGGGGCCAGGTTGGCCGACCGAGTCCAGGATACCCGACTGCCAGCAGGATGTCAGGTATGCCTGTGAGTGTGTGCCTCGTGTTGCATGTTGCATGGTATCCAAAATGGAGATAGTGTATGCGTGCGTGTATGTATGTATGATGCGTGTGTGTGTGTGTGTGAGAAGTGCGCGACTGATCCTAGTTGAATCCCAGCTGCAGGACTCCGCCGAACTGATCATCGAGGCCAAGAACAATGTCCATCGCCAGCGATTGTTGCAGCCCAGCCACGACTATCAGATCAACGAGCTGCCCGGCTCGTCCAACGCCGCCCTGTCCTCCGGCGAGAGGGAGGCGGGTGGTAAGCTAGGACCGCTGGAGGAAGCGGCCACCTCGTCAGCGGCAGCCATGGCGGCGTCCCAGCAACTAAGCAGGTCATCGCGCGGCGGCCTCAAAAAGGTAAGAAGTCCCTGAGACAACCAATCATACACTTAAGAGAAACAAATGTGACCCTTGACCCGATGATCCTCCTCCTCCTCCTCCAAAAAAATACCAACAGACATACTCGATCAAGGAGCGGCGCAACGAGGCGCCACGACTCTCCAAAATCCGGCTCGTCCGGGATCCGCCCATCATCACAACGACGGCGGCCACGCCCCAGGACTCGCCCAGCACGACCCTGGAGCCGGGCATGAGCTTCCGCCAGTGGGGCGACATGGAGGTGGGTTTAATGCCTAAAAACAGGGTTGCCAAGTGACAGAATCTTAACAAAATATTTATCCTTTCCGATAGCAGCCCCCCAGCTCGCCCTCCCCCTCGCTGCTGCGTCCGCCGAACATCTTCAGCGGAGGTCAGCGCAGCCTGGACGAGGGCATACCCTCCATCGATCTCATCCCGCCGTCGCCGGTCCTCGCCCACAAGCCCTTGAACATCCTGAACGCCAGCCAACTGGGCGTGGGAATGCCGGGCGGTGGGCCGGGCAGCTCCATGGGCAGCATGCACAGCCTGATCATCGACGACATCTCGAAGAGTTCCAGTTCCACGGCGGCGGCGGCAGCCACGCCCATTTACGTGCCCACCATATCCTCCGCCCAGGCGGAGGCGCAGAGCTTGAACGACGTGAGTCTGGGTGGCAACACTGGCAACGCCTCCACCAGCGGCAGCTCGTCCAGCGAACGCCTGCCCCTGGCCCCGCCTCCACAGGGTGGCTTTAAGCAGCGCTTCCGGAGGAGCAGCTCCAAGAAGCGGCGACCCGGATCCGGAAACGCCGAGGAAGGACACTTGGGCGTGTCGGGAGGGGCGGGGCAGGAGGAAGACGAGGAGCAACAGCAGCTCAACAATGGCGGCGACAACAGTTTCCTGCTAAGAAGTGGCGGGGCAACCGGAGCCAGTCCTGGAGGAGGATCCGGCGGAGGAGACTCCAGGACTAGAGACTCCGCTAGCACTTCGAAGGAAACGAATCGTCTCAGCCCCCAGAACTCCATCAGACGTCTCTCGAATACCCTGAGTATCGGCAGCGGACCTGTGGGGGGGCTGGGAACCGGCAGCCGGAGAGCCTCGGCCTGCATTTTCAACTCCCAGGTGTACCAGAACCTCAATCTCAACCAGCCGCCGACTCGGCTGCGTCCCGGTTCCGGGCAGCGCCGGATGAGCTCTATCGAGCTGGCCTTCAGCAAGACCTCCCACCTGAATCTGCACAACCTGGAGGCCAACCGGAAGTCCCTGTCGTACACCAACTCCAAAATGGACCTGGACAAGTGGAACAAGTCGTACGGCAATCTCAACGAGCCGGACACCATGCTTCAGCAGTACATGGAGGCGCGGGACAAGCGCAAGAACTCCATCAGCCACTACAACCTGAAGAAGCGTCTGGAAGAGAAGGAGCTCCAACAGCTGCAGCAGCTCCATCAACAGCAGCTGCTCCAGCAGCGCCAGGACTCGTTCTCCTCGGCCACCCAGCAGCCATATCCGACGCCCGGTCACTCGGCGGCCGGCTCACATCCCAGGCTCTCCAAGGACTACCAGCAACAGCAGCACCAGCACTTGCAGCTGGCGGCGATGCAGTCACATTCCACGGTGCCCGGCGGGGAGCGCTACTCCAAGCTCAAGATGATCATCGAGCAGCTCACCCCCAAGCACTTTACCGTCGAGCGCGAGGACTACTCGCTCTACATATTTCCGGAGGAGAATAGGTACGTATTCCTGGAGGGATTAGGTCCTGGGATTTATGACATTGCCTGAATATGGTTTTCAAATTTTTCGAATTTTTTCCTATGGGTACCCCTTCAAAATTGAGGGTTTTCCTGATTTCCCCACTTTGGCTCCTTCCGGTGGCCATAGCTCTGCCAATTTCCATCCGATCAGGAAACAAAGTACCATTTAGTAATCAGCGAACCCAAGAGCTACTTTCCTCATTCAAAATAATGCCTAAATATGGTTTTTAAATTTTTCGAATTTTTTCCCAGGGGTACCCCTTCAAAATTGTGGGTTTTCCTGATTTCCCCACTTTTGCTCCTTCCGGTGGCCATATCTCTGCTAATTTCTATCCGATCAGGAAACAAAGTACCGTTTAGTAATCAGCGAACTCAAAAGCTACTCTCCTCATTCAAAATATTGCTTAAATATGGTTTTCAAATTTTTTGAATTTTTTCCTAGGGGTACCCCTATAAAATTCGGGGTTTTCCTGATTTCCCCACTTTTGCTCCTTCCGGTGGCCATAGCTCTGACAATTTCCATCCGATTAGGAAACAAAGTACCATTTAGTAATCAGCGAACCCAAAAGCTACTTTCCTCATTCAAAATAATGCCTGAATATGTTTTTCCAATTTTTCAAATTTTTTCCTAGGGGTACCCCTACAAAATTGAGGGTTTTCGCGGTTTCCCCACTTTTGCTCCTTCCGGTAGCCATAGCTCTGCCAATTTCCATCCGATCAGGAAACAAAGCACCATTTAGTCATCAGCGAACCCAAAAGCTACTTTCCTCATTCAAAATAATGCCTAAATATGGTTTTCAAATTTTTCGAATTTTTTTCTAGGTGTACCCCTACAAAATTGAGGGTTTTCCTGATTTCCCCACTTTTGCTCCTTCCGATGGCCATAGCTCTGCCAATTTCCATCCGATCAGGAAACAAAGTACCATTTAGTAATCAGCGAACCCAAAAGCTACGTTCCTCATTCAAAATATTGCTTAAATATAGTTTTAAAATTTTTCGAATTTTTCGGAAATAAAAAGCATACAGTATCTTCTAAAGTATCCTTTAGTATCCTTGATTTTGACTTTTCGAACTTTTCCGTTCGCTTTCATTGAGTGGAAAATTGAATTGGAACTTTGTCTGCAAGTTGTCCTGTAGTGTCCTGTGCATACCAACTCACTCACCAACTTGCCCTGTCGTCCTGGGTCCTTTCTGTTCTCCCCATATTTTTCCAGATTCCGGCAAATCTGCTCGTGGTTCGTGAACCAAAAGTGGTTCGACAACGTGGTCCTGCTCTTCATCGCGCTCAACTGCATCACCCTGGCGATGGAAAGACCAAACATCCCTCCAAGCAGCACCGAAAGATTGTTCCTGTCAACAGCCAATTACGTGTTCACCGTCGTCTTCACCGTCGAAATGTTCATCAAGGTAAGTGGATGTTATTTTATTTTTTTTTTGGTTTATTCTGAAACATTCTCTGACTTTTATTCCAAACTTGCAAATTGATTTAAAAAGGTTGTGGCAACGGGCATGTTTTATGGCCCTGATGCTTACTTCACTTCCGGCTGGAATATCATGGACGGATCTTTGGTTACCATATCCATAATTGATTTGTTAATGTCTCTGATTAGCGAATCGAGTCCGAGGATATTTGGGATTTTAAGGGTAAGTACGGGCTCAGGGTCCATGGCAGAACTATGCCAAGTCACGCAAAAAAAAAAAACAAAACCGCCAGCAGCAGTAGTCAACAATCAAGCAATCAATCAAGCAATCAAGCAAGCTATCAATCAAGCAAGCTTTCAATCAAGCAACTATGAAAACGAATGCTTCAGCAGAACATCTACAAGAACAACAAGAACAATATATAATTATATATATATGTATGCCACGCCCACGTATCCTACGACCACGCCCATTATTAGGCTGGATCAGAAAAAAATGCTATAAAAAAAAATACCAAAAACCCAGCCCGCTCGCTGAATTGCTCTCTGTCTCTTTCTGTCTGCTGATTGGCGCTATCACTATCTCTCTCTCTCTATACACCTATATGCTCTTTCTTTTTCACACACAAACACATACACCTACACACCTGTTCACTGACACTCTCACACTCACCCGATACTCCAAGGATAACACTTCACTTTCTAAAAAAAAAAATAAAAATTTTCAATTTTTGTTTTCAATTTCCATCACAAAACATCTCGTTTCGAACTCGGGTCTCTCTCTCTGTCTCTCTCTAAATATCTTATGTATATATTATATATATAATAAATTATATATATTAAATATGTAACTCGATAATTCAGGTAAATTTCCGCTCCTATATGCGTTAATCAGCAAAAACTGAATTCAATTTGTTTTCACTATTTGTTAAGTGTGCGTAGACCCCTTCCCCCCAAAAAAATACTAAATAATTTTACAAAAATATATTAAAAAAAAAACAAAACAAAAAAACCTCCCTTAAAAACAAAATTCAAGTAATTTGTTGACTCGCCTTCATTGAGTAATTTTATTGTAAATAGTTAATTGTTTTATTTATTAACAAAAAAAAAACCTTTCAGGTATAGGATTATGACACTTTCTATAAAAAATTCATCAGTATCAAGGACTATATCTAAAATATTTATTTTATTCAAGTGTCATAGCTCTATAATTAATTTTCTGTCATGGATTGTAGCAAGAAATTGAGCATCGTTTTTGAAAAATGCTTTTCCATTTCATGCTAAGCCCAATAAACATTCCCATTTGTTGGTTGTGCTTTTACAAAATATTTGACCGATTTGTATTCCATAATATAATTCACATATATCCCATATATATTCCATTTATATTCCACATATATCCGATATAATCACACTATATTGATCTAACATCACGCCTCCCCCTCGACACTGTCATTTAGCTTGGCTAATTTCATTCCAAAATGTTGACTGTTTTAACTGTTGTTTATGGCCCGAAAAAGTCTATATATTAAAACAGAGGTCGGCACGGCCCTATCTCGGGGGCATAGGAAATTTCTCTGCCCGAGCTCTGCCACACACACACAGTATACATGTGTGAAACGTCATGCACACAGCCTACTTTCTGCTATTCGTTACTAACACTAATGCGGTAAAATCATATCAATGTATTGGGGTGCCGATCCCTGTATTAAAAGATTGAAAATATCAAAAAATGGAGTTACCAACAAACTAGGTTTTCTAATTAAATATTTCTCAAATTTCAAAAGTTTTAAATAAAAAATGACTCAAATATTTGATATTTTCCATTCTTTTATTAGACTGGGCTTGTGCTTTTATTTATTTTCTTATTTTTAACGGCTTAAAATGTATTTACACTGTTATATTTATGCTTTTTTGAACAGTGTTGCCTTAAAAAATAGTCTAAAAGGATCTATTTTTTAACCAAATAAAATTAAAAAAATAAAATTTTTCAAATTAAAATTATAAACCCTTTTTATTATTAATTTTTTGTTATATAACACCTAAAACTATTAAGTTATTATTGTAAAATCACAAATAGTTAGGGCAGCACTGTTCCAAAACGCCATCTGGCGCTCGCAAGCGAAAGCTTAGCTGCTCAGCTGCAGTGCAAGCAGTTGTACACTGCTTGCCATACCGTTCTAGCCAATGCACAAACCAGCCACGAACCAACTCATGACAGTCGACTGTCGTCCTTCTTTTTCTCTTCTTTTTTTTTTTGTTTGTGGCTGCCATTTTTTGGGCGGCATATCCTTGCAGGTGTTTCGACTACTCCGATCCTTGCGGCCGCTGCGGGTGATCAACCGAGCCCCGGGTCTGAAACTAGTCGTGCAAACACTCTTATCGTCCCTGCGTCCCATCGGCAACATCGTGCTGATCTGCTGCACCTTCTTCATCATCTTCGGCATCCTGGGCGTGCAGCTCTTCAAGGGCACCTTCTACTACTGCGAGGGCGAGAACATCAAGGGCGTACGGAATGCGGACGAGTGCCGCCGGATACCGGGCAATGTCTGGACGAACCGGAAGTACAACTTCGATGATCTCGGCAAGGCGCTGATGTCCTTGTTCGTCCTGAGCTCCCGCGACGGTTGGGTGAACATCATGTACACCGGCCTGGATGCTGTCGGCGTCGATCAACAGCCCATCGTGAACTACAATGAGTGGCGACTCCTGTACTTTATCGCCTTCATTCTGCTGGTGGGCTTCTTTGTGCTGAACATGTTCGTGGGCGTGGTGGTGGAGAACTTCCACCGGTGTCGCGAGGAGCAGGAGAAGGAGGAGAAGATCCGGCGCGCCGCCAAGCGGGCCCTCCAAATGGAGAAGAAGCGCCGCCGGATGCACGAACCGCCCTACTACACGAACTACTCACCCACCCGGATGTTCGTCCACAACGTGGTCACCTCCAAGTACTTCGACCTGGCCATCGCCGCCGTCATCGGCCTGAATGTGGTCACCATGGCGATGGAGTACTACAAGATGCCCTATCCCCTCAAGTACGCCCTCAAGATCTTCAACTACTTCTTCACGGCCGTCTTCATCCTGGAGGCGAACATGAAACTGGTGGCTCTCGGCTGGCGTTTGTATCTCAAGGATCGCTGGAATCAGCTGGACGTCGGCATCGTCCTACTCTCCATAGTAGGCATTGTCCTGGAGGAGCTGGAAACGGAGAAGTTCATCCCAATTAATCCAACAATTATACGCGTGATGAGAGTCCTGCGGATAGCGAGAGTCCTGAAGCTCCTGAAAATGGCGAAAGGAATCAGAGCACTGCTGGACACCGTGATGCAGGCACTGCCCCAAGTGGGCAACCTGGGACTGCTGTTCTTCCTGCTGTTCTTCATATTCGCGGCACTGGGCGTGGAGCTGTTCGGGCGGCTCGAGTGCTCCGACGAGATACCCTGCCAGGGACTGGGCGAGCACGCGCACTTCGCCAACTTTGGCATGGCTTTCCTCACATTGTTTCGCGTAGCGACTGGCGACAATTGGAACGGCATCATGAAGGACACGCTGAGGGATAATTGCGATGACGCGGCCGATTGTGTACGCAATTGCTGCGTCAGCTCGGTTATTGCTCCCATATTCTTTGTGATATTCGTGCTAATGGCGCAATTCGTTTTGGTGAACGTCGTCGTGGCTGTTTTGATGAAACACCTCGAGGAGAGCCACAAGCAAATGGAAGATGAGCTCGACATGGAGGTGGAGCTCGAGCGTGAGCTGGTGCGCGAACAGGAGTTTGCCCAGGAGCAGAAGCTGTGCCAGCAGCTGGCGGAGGCGCAATCAAAGGCGGCACCGCCCCCGCGCCCCCCTCGCCAAGGTCAAATCCCTGCCCAAGAACTTCATCTACAGCACCCCATCGTTGGACAAGAAATTCCCCGCCCCAATCGGCAATAATCCCGGACAGGGTAGCCTAACCAGTTCGGCGGCCACCAATCTGAATCAGATGGCTGGCGGTGGTGGAGGAGGAGTTGGGGGTGCGGGTGCCCGCCGCCAAACCGTTCAGTACTTCAATCAGCCACAGAATCCAAGCTCCCTGGCCCTCGGCCTGAGTCTGGCCGAGATGGGGGGCACGCTGACGCCTCAGGCGCTCGGCGCCCGGCTGGGCGAGCCCTTCGGCGGCCCAGCGACGGCAGTCGGAGGCGTCCTAACTGGTGAGCCCTCGGCCGCCGGCCTCCCGCTACCGCCGCTGGACGGACGCCGCCGCGGGCGTCGCGCCTCCGCGGCCGCCGGCTTCCGCAAGCGCGGCGTGCTCTCCAAGGAGCGCTCGCTGGACGAGCAGGCCATCCGACGACGCAACCTGGAGGCCAAGCGCACCAGCTGCGACTCGCTGCCCTGGGGCGGCGATGCCCTCGACTACCATCGCCGGGGCACCATCTTCGAGAGCCTCGAGTCCGGGGCGGAGGGTGCAGGAGGCGGAGGATCAGCCACTAAGCTGGAGGACACTGGCTCCTATGATATACGCAGTGTTCGCAGCGCCGATGTCGGCCACATGGAGTCCCTGGACGCGGAAAGTCTCTCGGTGGTGAGTTCTCTAGTGCCAGTACCCCTGCCGCCGCCTCCGCCCCTGTCCCCGCCCACAACAACGCCCTTGCCCACGCCCACGCCCACCCAGCGACGACCCTTCGGCTGGTCCCAGTCGGTGGACCAGGGATGTATGCGGAGCAGTCTGCTCCTGTCAGTGCCGCGATCCATGCCGCCGAGGAGTCGGAGCGGCAGCACCAAGCAGCTCTTCAAGCAGCAGGCCCTGGACGAGGACGCCGACATGGACGAGAACTCGCTCCTTCTGCCAACCACCAGTCAGGGATCTGGCTCACCCGGATCTGGGCCCACGGCCGGTTCTGTTCCAGCTCCAGCCAAGCTGGACATTCCCGAAACCGGACAAGTCTCTGGGGATATTCCGGGCCTGAGCAAGTCCGATTCCTCGGACATCCTTCGCATCATCAGCGAACGCCGGCGAATGGATCAGCGAGAGCAGCAGGATCTGGAGAATGCGGAGGACCGGGACAGTGACTACAAGGAGCTGTTATTGGTAAAGTCGCCGCAGTCCTCCATGGACTAGAAAAATAAACTAGCCGGGCTTGAAATTTGAAACTGAAAAGTAAACTATGATCCCCTCTAGTTAGGACACCTGTAAGCTCTCCTTTTTTTTGAGATTTCTGAAGGAAAGCCCGGCTTAAAAAAAATTAAAAATCATACCTTAGGGAATTTTCTAAACTAAAAACTAAAAAATAAAAAAAAACTATAAATCAGTATTGCAGAGAAAAAGTTAAAAGAAAGAACAAAGAAATCCCTAGAAAAAAAATAAAACTCTAAAATCTAGTAAGCAAAATTGTCAACTGTTTTTAGTGCAATCCTACGGTTTTCATAACTTTAAAAAATTAAAACAAAAACTTAACACAAAAATATAACAAACTGAAAATGAAAGAAAATCTGAAAATACAAAAAAAAAATTAGCTAAGTTTCAAAGTTGATTAGAAAATGTTTTCCGTTTCAAGTTGTAGAGCAGACCTGATTATGGATATGTGTGTGGATTATATACAAAGAAAACCAAAAACAAAAAAAAACCGTTATATGCAATTTATACACATACATATATATGTACCGTTATATATATAGGGATACTGCATACATACAAAGAAGAAAAAAAATAAATACAAAAACAAGAATGATGGAAATTTGTGAAGAAAGAAAATCATCAACTCTGTGATTAGCTCTTAAAGTTTAAATATTTATATGAAGAGAAACGGTCACACTAACTAATAATACACACACTTGGTCACACTCTACAATAAATAAATGCTGTCTGTATATAGAAACGCCTGTATGTATGCAATATATTTGAGTGTATTTTACATAGCTTAGCCAATGAAACAGAAACAGCATATATATTAAAGATATATGATATATATATATATATAGATATTGCCGCATTGATAAGCAATACTGTATAGTCTCTAAGATCGAAACCCGAATCGGTAAGGCAAAGAATTTGCGTTGGCATTCCGAGAATAATTGGCTTGAAAGTGTTACGGAAAAGGGGAATAATAAACTTTGTGCAAACGAATTTACTTAGGTACTTAAATACACTCGAAACACACAGAGACACACACACACTTGAGAAAATATTAATAGACAATCTATGGCCCATAACCCCCCATCTCCAGTTTCCTCTATAAAAGGCTTCCAATGATAGCCCCCCCTTTAAAAAAATAGTGCCAACGCATTAAGGGTCTTCATAAAATGTATGTGTATGTGTGTATGTTTTTTTTTGTTTGGATAAATATAAATGGATAAAAATAAAAGAAAAATATAAAGAAAACTAATAACTCTTAAAACTAATCACTAAACACTACAAACAGAAGCAGAACTTTAAGAAGTAGCATTTATAAAAAGTGGAAAATGAAGGGAAATTAGTAGAAATTTAATGGTTAATGTTTAATGACTAAATAGTAAATATATATATAGAGTGTATATATGGAACTATCAACGAATTACAATAGAGTATCAGGATATTTCTAGGCACTTGAACCGAAACCAAAGGCCAGCCAGCTAGAAAGGCACTAAAGGAGTAGGAAACGGAGTAGAATGCGGAGTAGAACTTACACTTACTCAACACTGTCAATTTTTCAAACATGATCTATAAGCTAAACAATTTTTTCAAAGAAAACCAAACGACAAATTTTACACTCTTTGTACACACTGTAAAAAAAAAAAAGATAAAAAACTAACTAAGAAGAGCTCTCCAGTTTAGATAAACTTTAAAACTTAGAAAGGGATTTGTGAGGAAACCAAAAAAGTAACAAAAAAAAATTAGTAAGCAAGGAAAAAATTTAATTATACGATAATTTCATCTGTGCCTTTCTCTACGAATACGAAAAAAGTAATAAATATATACAAATATTTATCAGATACTTCACTGTCTCCACTCTGTCTCTTTCGCTCAGTGTCAGTCTGTCTCTCTCTGTACCATGCACAGTCACACTATATCTGTCTCTTACACACACACACTAACACACTCCCAAAAGATAACGGTAAGCAATCCAAGATGGAGTGACAGGAAAATGCGACTCTGAAAAATAAAAAAAGGAAAAACTATTTACGAGGCAGGAAAAAAAAATTACCTAGAAAATAATTAATAAAGAGATAAAATAAAAAATAAAAAATTAAAAATATAGTTAAAAGCATGAAGTTTCTAGGTTAAAGCGCTAGTAGTTTTGAACATTTTTTTTGTGTGCAATTTTTTAAAGTAGCTGCTTGGAGTAAAAAAAAGAAAAACAGAAAACCTTAAAAATAATATTTCTTTATGGCTTTTAGTTGTGTGTGTTTGTTTTTAGTTTCTTGTTTTTTAACTTTTTAATTTGTAATTTTTAATGCAAAGAGTAAAGTAAACTATAAAGAATGTTTCTTCTTGTTGATTAATAATTAGGTACACTGCTACAAAAACATATATGTTAATTCAAGAAACGAAATCAAAAAAAAAAACGGAATAGCAAAAAAAACACAGAAAATTAGTAAAAAAGTGAGTTGAATTTAAAATTAATAGCCGTAATGGCCGAAACGAAATGCAGAAGTAAACTAAATTGCTTTTAGCTCCATGCCGTAAATTCTTTGCAACAAAAATAATACCATTAGAAGTGAAATTGAAATTAAGAATAAAAATAAAAAATAAAAACTAACTCAAGCACTATCCTCTGCTGTACAAAAAAATAAAGAAAACAAGAAACTCTGTTTAGAAATAGCCATAAAATCCAACAAAAAAAAGGACAGAAAATAAAATGTTGTAATCATTTCGTTGCGTGTCCTTTGCGTATAATTTAAATGGTTCGATTGGTTCCACTAGATACGTATGAACATATATATATATATATATATACTGAGAACACATACTATGTAAAGTCAGCAGCGAAAAAAAACCAAAAAAAAACCGAGCATTATAAATTAAAGAGAATTTGAAAAGAAAATATTAACAAGGAATTATTATTTAGAAATAAAAATAGTGGGCTTATGAACAAGATTTTTCAATTAAAATTATTTGATTTTGCTATTTGATTATCATTATGGACCTACATGGCGTATACTTAGTATTACGCATACGCCCCATCATCCCCCCAAGAAGAAAACTTGATATTTCCGTACAAGATTTTTCAATTAAAATTATTTGATACATGGCGTATACTTAATATTACGTATACGCCCCATCACCCCCGTCCCAAAGAAGAAAACTTGATATTTCCGTACAATTTTTCTTTATTTACGAATATAATGCCGTTTCTTTTCGCGGAGGGCTGGTGGAACAAAGACCGGTTCAGGATCAACGGGTACAACGGGCAGCTACAAACACACTATCGATCTATAAATATATAAATCTATATATATTCGTACAAATATATATATATATAGCCAATTACAAAGTACACATGCATTACTGCGCCATAACAAACAAAAAACAAAAATTACAAATAAGGAGAACTACACAAAAAAAAGTTCACATTATCATCTCTATAGTACTGCGTCTGTGTGTGTGTGTGGTTTTTTATATATATATACTCTATATATATATAATATATAATATGCGATATAAATATATATGTATATAAAAAAAAATACATCGAGTGCCGTAGAGTCGTAGAGTGGACTACCAAACGCTGCACTTTTCCGCCGGATTCATGGTACTCTCCGGCGGACAGCTGTAGGCTCGGGCAAAGTCCCGGGAATTCGAGAGCGGCCCCAAGACCCGGACAAAGCCCGGCGAATGGACCGAGGACCGGATCTTGGTCAGAGCATCCTCCGGTCGCATAGATCCGCACCAGATTTGGGCATAATTCAAGAAGAACAGCTGATCGTGTGTCATATTCAAGCCGGGTAGGAGTTGTTCGCGTCCATGCAGGGTTTCCCATTTTTTATAGGCCTGGAAAATCAGTTGGTTAATAATTAATATATATTCTAAGTAATTTTAGTACTTACCCTAAACGCCTGCTTAAGACCACCATTATCCGCTATATTCTCGCCCTGCGTCATCCGGCCGTCCATGTACATGTCCACCTCGTTGATCTTGTAGCGGGAATACTGATCGATGACGCACTGCGTCCGCTCCCGGAACGCCTCAATGGTGGCATTGTTCCACCACTGCATCATGTTGCCCTCCTTGTCGAACTGCCGGCCCTTGTCATCGAACCCGTGGGTGATCTCGTGGCCAATAACCACGCCAATGCCCCCGTAGTTCAGGGACTTTGGAAAATGCTGGCTATAGAATAGCGGTTGCAAGATGCCAGCGGGAAATACTGAAAAGGATCAAAGGATTCATTATTTTGGACATAGGATGAGATGGTAATAGACCCACCTATATCGTTCTTGTTGGGATTATAAAATGCATTCACCACTGCCGGTTCGGTGGTCCACTTCTCCTTGTCCACCGGCTGCCGCAATAGATGGAGGACCTTCTGGGACTCCCATTGCAGGATGCTCAGGACATTGTCAATGAAGTTATCCGAAACAATCGTCAGCTGGAGAGGATTAGGAGATCATACTTGGACTATATAGAAGTCAGAATAGTCAGCTTTATTTTACTCACATTAACATACTCCTGCTCCAGTTCGGTGGCATTCGTCAGGAGCTCTGGATACCCGATCCTTTCGTTCATCGAGTCGGCCTTCTCCTTGGCCACCGCCCGCGTCTCGTCGTCCATCCAGTGATTCTCTGTGAGAAGCTCATTGAACGCCGCCCGGATCGTGTGAATCATCTCGAGGGCCACCTCCTTGCTCTCCTGGTTGAAGTTGTCCCGGATGAAGAGAGCGCCCACCGCAACGCCCAGCTTCTTGTTGGTCCACTCGACGCACTGCGACCACCGCGTCCTCTCCGACTGGATGCCCATCAGGATCTTGCGGAACTCCACCCGCTCCCGCTGGTACTCGTCGATCATGTGCGCCATCAAGGACATCACCAGCCGCCAGAGCATGTAGTTGTGCACCACCCGGCGTTCGGTTCTGGCCAGGATCTTGCCCATTTCGGTGAGGTACTTGAGGCCGTAGGTGACTAGAGGTTCGTCGGCTTGGAGGGGAATGCTCGCCCCCAGGGCCGTTTGCAGGTACTCCGACCACTGCACCTCCGGCACGAGCTCCTGCAGCTCCGGCAGGGTCAGCTTTC